TTCTGAATTTGACAGATCCCTGTCTCCACAGTATCCAACTGGCTCATCAAAATGCCTGATCCACTTGGAATACTGTCCCTTTTCTCCCAAACTAACCCAGCCATCATCATTATTATTTTCACTGAGGCTGTGTTGGGCCACCCCCCTGCTAGCAGTGATTTTTTTCCCCGCGGTTCCTCCCCCTCCTGCTGCATTTCCCGCGGTTTACACCCCCCGGGGTTAATCAATCACCAGCGGAGTTTTCACCGGCCCATCACCGCCACCACATCCCCATCTCCCCCCATTGCGACATTGCTGCTTGTCGCAATTCTGCGACTTTGGCGCTTAAAGGGTTAAACATTCACTAAAAGACTTCCCTTTATAAACGAAACTCACACAGCAAGATGAATACTCCATTGACTGTACTCTAAGTACCTATAATAATAAGTAGGTAAAGTATGATATAAGCAATATTTATTTAGGGAACCACAATAAAATACGAATACACCTGAAAAATGTCTAGCCTGGCCAGCCGTGCCAATGCTTCCTTGGCCCAATTCCACACTTGCTCCCTTCAATTGTGCAATCTTGACCAGGGATCTGAGTGCATAGGGTGTTCCGATTCTCAAGTACGGAAGTCGATCACGCTCCTTTTGTGCCCTTGATCCGCATTTCACCCAGGTCCACATCGATAGACGAAGCCGCAGGTTGTTGACCCCTGCCCCGGGATGTTACACTGGTTTAAAAAACAATCATGGGTAGAACCCCGTCATGTCATTGCTCATCACTCATCACTTCCAACAACCAACGCAATTTACGTTCCAGTAACTTAATCTCATGGTTATTCCCAAAGCTCGCACCCCCTTTGGCCGCTCCTCATTCCAGTTTGCTGCTTCTAACGACTGGAATGAGCTGCAGAAATCACTGAAGCTCACTACGTACATTCCACTATCTACCTTCAATAATTCATTACAATCAATAGTTTCTGATGAATGTACCTGCTTTTGACTACTTAGACTGTTTTAAGTCTGTTTTGATTTCTTGTACTTATTATATACAGGTGCTGGCCAGTAAATTAGAATATCATCAAAAGGTTGAAGATATTTCAGTAATTCCATTCAAAACGTGAAACTTGTACATTATATTCATGCAATGCACACAGACCAATGTATTTCCAATGTTCATTACATTTAAATTTGATATTCATAAGTGACAACTAATGAAAACTCCAAATTTGGTATCTCAAAAAATTAGAATATTCTGAAAAGGCTGAATATAGAAGACACCTGCTGCCACTCTAATCAGCTGATTTACTCAAAACACCTGCAAAGGCCTTTAAAAGGTCCCTCAGTCTTGTTTTGAAGGCACCACAATCATGGGGAAGACTTCTGACGTAACAGCTGTCCAAAAGACAATCATTGACACCTTGCACAAGGAGGGCAAGACACAAAAGGTGATTGCTAAAGAAGCTGGCTGTTCGCAGAGCTCTGTGTCCAAGCACATTAACAGACAGGCGAAGGGACGGAAAAAATGTGGTAGAAAAAAGTGTACAAGCTCTAGGGATAACCGCACCCTGCAGAGAATTGTGACGACAAACCCATTCAAAAATGTGGGGGAGATCCACAAAGAGTGGACTGCAGCTGGAGTCAGCGCTTCAAGAACCACCACGAGGAGACTCATGAAAGACATGGGATTCAGGTGTCGCATTCCGTGTGTCAAGCCACTCTTGAACAAGAAACAGCGCAAGAAGCGTCTCGCCTGGGCCAAGGACAAAAAGGACTGGACTGATGCTGAGTGGTCCAAAGTTATGTTTTCTGATGAAAGCAAGTTCTGCATTTCCTTTGGAAATCAAGGACCCAGAGTCTGGAGGAAGAGCGGAGAAGCACAGAATCCACGTTGCATGAGGTCCAGTGTAAAGTTTCCACCGTCAGTGATGGTGTGGGGTGCCATGTCATCTGCCGGTGTTGGCCCACTCTGTTTCCTGAGGTCCAGGGTCAATGCAGCCGTCTACCAGGAAGTTTTAGAGCACTTCATGCTTCCTGCTGCTGACCAACTTTATGGGGATGCAGACTTCACCTTTCAACAGGACTTGGCACCTGCACACAGTGCCAAAACCACCAGCACCTGGTTCAAGGACCATGGTATCCCTGTCCTTGATTGGCCAGCAAACTCGCCTGACCTTAACCCCATAGAAAATCTATGGGGTATTGTGAAGCGGAGGATGCAATACGCTAGACCCAACAATGCAGAGGAGCTGAAGACGACTATCAGAGCAACCTGGGCTCTCATAACACCTGAGCAGTGCCACAGACTGATCGAGTCCATGCCACGCCGCATTACTGCAGTTATTGAGGCAAAAGGAGCCCCGACTAAGTATTGAGTGCTATACATGCACATTCTTTTCATGTTCATTCTTTTCAGTTGGCCAACATTAGAGAAACAAACATTTTTTCATTGGCCTTTAGAATATTCTAATTTTCTGAGATACCAGATTTGATGTTTTCATTGGTTGTCACCTATAAATATCAAAATTAAACGTAATAAACATCGGAAATACATTGGTCTGTGTGCATTGCATGAATATAATGTACAAGTTTCACGTTTTGAATGGAATTACTGAAATATCTTCAACCTTTTGATGATATTCTAATTTACTGGCCAGCACCTGTATGAGAAAGTCCTTTGTCTTTGTGTCTAACTGTTGTATCTTAATTTTATCTTGTCTGTCTGCTGCTGCCGCTGCCTCTCGGCCAGATCGTCGTTGTGAATGAGAATGTGTTCTCAATCGACTCATCTGGTTAAATAAATAAAATAAAACATTAAACTGGTCCTTGGGTGGCTGAAAAGTTAAACATCTAAAAGTGACAACAGGTACCAGATTAGACCACAGTGGCAGCTAGAAGGATTTGTGTAGTAATCACAGGATTACAGATGGACAGTGTGTGGCATCTGTAACACTGACTTCCTCAGTCAGAACTCATGACAGATGCAATGGAGCTCCTATCTATCGGCACACTTCAGTGTGAAGTTGTCTACTGTGAGAGTTAACCTTTGACCCCTGGCTAGATACTACCCACCAGCTTGTTCCAATTCTGTTGACCAGGATTATCCTGGTCAAGGTGCCCCAGGAGCCCTGACCACTGAGCTCCCTGCCAGCCTCCTATTGGTCCAGCAGGTTGTCAGCACAAACCCAGGATTGTTCCACTGCCGTTCCCAAACCCCAGCAGAAACTCAGAAGCTTTTACAGGAAGTTCTTTTTGCACATTTACATGTAAATATTTCATTTGACATGTTTGAAGTGAGTGTTGGCCACAGCAGCACTAACTACACCTTTTATGGGTCTGAACCAAGCCCTCACAAATTGGTCTAAAAGTGGTCCCAACCCAGAAGTACCAAAAACTTGCAGTTCCACCCTCATCCACTAGGGGCTGGTGTCAGAAGCGAGCAAATCCTCATTGACTCCCATGTTAAAAATACCAATTTCACAGCAGAAATAAACATGTTTACAGCCTGGTACCAAAACTTGTTTTTTGTTTAAATGATCTAGTTTACACTGATGACAACTCTGAGGGGGGTGAATTTTTTTCTCACTCTTCTGTTTAAGTGTATTAAAAGCCTAAAATTCTGTATAATTAATGAGCATCAGACCCACGTGACCACAGAGCTAGCTCCGTGGAAAGGCCTCAGTAGAGCCTCGGTCTGGCTTGGAAACTGTTCCGGGATTTTGAGTCTCTGTGTTTGTTTATTCTTGTTTGGATATTATTTGTGCAATTGTTGGACAAAATGACTTGCTGTGGCATTAATTGCACTAATAGAGCGTCCAAGGAGTCTCCGTTTCATTTTTTTCGGTAAGTAAAATTATATTCATGTATTTTAGGTCACTGCCGAGCTGAGCTTAGATTTTAACATGTACTGTTTAACCATGAAATTTAAATGTAATAGAGTAAAACCCAGTGCATTTAACATAATGCTGCACTTTAGAAAATGGGTTGAAATATAACATGTTGGTGGAGCTGGGTTCCGACTATCGTCTTGTGGAGCTCTCAGGAGACCGATGTTTTCCACCCGTTCTCGCCTCCCCGCAGCTCGGCGCATCTCTGTCTGATCGCGGCTTCTGTCTGCTGTGCGGCTGCCGGCTTCCAGCAGCTTTCGGGAGACCTCTGTGTTCCACCCGGTTTTACCCAGCGGTCAGCCCGGCGTATCGCTGACTCAGAAGCTCTGGTGTTGTGCACAGTTAACTCCGGTTGTAGCTAGGTTGCTACCTCCGTTAGCTTAGCTCCCACCTCCGCATTTGCTTTGGGTTAGCTTCAGGTTAGCTTGTAGCTAGTTCGACCGAGTGTCGTCAGTTGATCCCAGCCTTACAGCCCCACCCTCAGCTCCACCTCTCTTCCCTCTTGTGGAATTGTCTGGGCTTGACGGAACCTGTGACACGGTCAAAATGGCGGTGGTGGCCACCTCCCATTTTAGTACAAAAACTTATTATTGGAGCCTATGGAACCCCATTGTCCATATATGTATGTCGATGGTCTGAACTAGCAGGTAAACACTTTGGCTGAAGCATGCTAAAGTTGGTCTGTGGTGGTCAGTTCTGCAGCAGCAGTGAGCAAATACACGCGCACACACACACACACACACACACACACACACACACACACACACAGGTTGTGGTTACCAACTACTCAGCTGTACAGATCTGGGATGGACAAACTCATTAAATTAATATCAGACATTGGCTCTCTGCCCTTCACACTCACCCTGTTCCCTTTTTCTCATTTATAAAATCATTTCTTTTTCACTCCCCTACTCCACACACACACACACACACACACACACACACACACACACACACACACAACTGTCACTAGATAATCCAGTGGTTTTTCTCCTCCCTTGTTTACTAAATGCTGTCCTCACATAGTCTCCTGTTGTTTTATTTGGAAGCTCTTGGATTTTCAGTTAAACAGATTTAGTTGACATCAACTCCACTCCCTCTGTCTGTGGCCTTCTTTGTTTCTGTGTAGGCTCCACCAATCAGAGGTCACTGACAGTAGCAAAGCCGAGGATAACCCTGGACCCATTCATACGTCTGAAATCAGACAAGTTGGACATGGTGAGTACTTCCTCTCCTCAGTAGAGCTGCTTTAATTACTTCAAATCCTTCCTTCAGGAGGAAAGAACCACCATAAATCTGGTCATGTGGTGCAGCTACTCTGGGGGGAGGAGATTCGGTGGTGACGTCATATATGCGATGTGCAGATGTCTGGTTTGTAGTCGTGCTAATTTCGAACATTTACAAGTTGATAAATCTCAAAGTACAGGACTGGCGTGGTGGAAACCCCCATTGTTAGTTTTAATTTAAACTGAAGCACAACACATGTGCGGGTCAGGGCCTGAGGCAGAAGTGGATTAGAAACTAACTCTTTTGGCCCGGTTCAGGGAGCCATGGGCTGACCAGAAAGGGAGGAGACTTAGGCTTGCTTTTCCGTTAGCAACAGGAGAAGGAGGGGAAGAGGGGCGAACACAGCAAGAGAAACACGGAGGGACCGGACTCGTAGTAACATTTTTGAGCTAAACTGCAGGAAAGTGTGGGTGTTTAACCTCCTCATTAGAAATAAAGTGGGTGTTAAAATACCCCACATCTCCCACGGGTGTGATGCCCATGATGGACTTGATTAGCAAAGCCACACAGCTGTCTGTATAAGACCTTACAGCTCACAATGCAGGTCAGAGCAAATGAGAATCATGAGGTCAAAGGAACTGCCTAAAGAGCTCAGAGACAGAATTATGGCAAGGCCCAGATCTGACCAAGGATACAAAAACATCTCTGCTGCACTTCAGGTTCCTAAGAGCACAGTGGCCTCCATAGTCCTCACATGGAAGACGTTTGGGACCACCAGAACCCTTCCTAGAGCAGACCATCCAGCCAAACTGAGCTACCGGGGAGAAGAGCCTTGGTGAGAGGCAAAGAACCCTAAGATCACTGTGGCTGAGCTCCAGAGATGCAGTCAGGAGATGGGAGAAAGTTGTAGAAGGTCAACATCACTGGAGCCCTCCACCAGTCAGGGCTTTATGGCAGAGTGGCCCATCAGAAGCCTCTCCTCAGTGAAAGACACGTGAAAGCCCACATGGAGTTTGCTAAAAGACACCTGAAGGACCCAGAGATGGTGAGAAACGAGATTCTCTGGTCTGATGAGACCAAGATAGAACTTTTGGGCCTTAATTCTAAGCGGAGTGTGTGGAGAAAACCAGGCACTGCTCATTACTTGTCCAATACAGTCCCCACAGTGAAGCATGGCGGTGGCAGCATCATGCTGGATGACCGGTTGCAATAGAGGGAACGATGAATGCGGCCAAGTACAGGGATGTCCTGGACAAGAACCTTCTCTAGAGTGCTCAGGACCTCAGACTGGGCTGAAGGTCTACCTTCCAACATGACGACGACCCTAAGCACACAGCTGAAATAATGAAGGAGTGGCTTCACAGCAACTCTCTGACTGTTCTTGAATGGCCCAGCCAGAGTCCTGCTGAGCAACTCTGGAGAGACCTAAAGGTGGCTCCACCAACGTTCACCATCCAACCTGACAGAACTGGAGAGGATCCCCACATCCAGGTGTAAGAAACTTGTTACACCTTTACCGAGAAGACCCACGGCTGCATTAGCTCTAAAGGTGCTTCTACTCAATACTGAGAACGGGTCGGAATACTTTCTTTACCCACCGTATGGTTAAATTCTGATCATTGCTAAGTTGTTGGACGAGTAGATTTGTTATCTCTGTAATTATGCTGCTGTAGGCTTAGACAGCCGGAGGACATTCTGACCACTTCACACACTCTGCTATTGTCTTCTATCACTACTCTCCAACTGCATTTTTCTCCATTATTTCAGCTGTTATTTTATATGTTCTCTAAATGTTTTTCTCTCTAGAGAAGCTACACCAGGTCTGGTGCTCTGTTGGAGGTTTCTTCCTGTTAAAAGGGAGTTTTCCTCTCCACTGTCGCTGCATGCTTGCTTAGTATGAGGATTGCTGTAAAGACTCTTACACTAGTCAGTGACTCGATGCAACCTGCTGGGTTCCTTATAGAAGAAACCTTTATTTAATTGGCATAATTAACTAAACCGCACTGATATGTAGGTTCAGTTGGAACGTTTAACTTCGTAAAGTGCCTTGAGACAACTCTTAGATGACTCAGGAGAGCGGCTTGTCATAATCGGAAGGCAGCAGAGTGCTGCTGTTGTGTCCTTGGGCAAGACGCTTAACCCTCCCTGACGGCTGGGGGTGCTTGGAGGGACCGTGGCGTCTGTACTTTGCAGCCTCGCCTGTCGGTGCGCCCCAGGGCAGCTGTGGCTACATGGTAGCTCATCACCATTAGTGTGTGAATGGATGAATGATACACTGTAGTGTAAAGAGCTCTGAGGTGCGCTGACTCTGAAAGGTGCTCTGCGAGTGCGGGTCATTTATCATTTGTTCAGTGCAAAAATAAACTTTAACACAAAGATCAGAAAAGGTGTTTTAAAGAAAAATGAGAGTAAGGGTCTATCTGCATTGTAATGAACTGATTTCACAGCTGTATCACCCCCCCCCCCCCCCCCCCCCCCACACACACACACACACACACTTTATCTCCTATTTTTAACACATCAGCACTTTCTCTCTCCGCCCGTCACCTGCCCTGCAGCCTCCCATCTCTCTGCTCGCCGATTCTGTTTCAGCTCTCGATCGGTCCTTTGAACACTTCTGTTACCCTCGGCTAGCTTTGATGCTGCTGTAGCCCAGATGGTGTCCAGCTGTAGTCCGACCCCAATCTACCAACTCATTCGTGGGATTAAAGGGAGAACAGAGAAACAGCCCTGATGTGCTAGACCTTTGCAACACAGACAGAAATTCATTCTGGATTCTAACAGCTTTGGCAGATCCTGCTAAGGAGGTGTTTGAAACTGAAATGAAATGGAAACACCTTGTTCAAAAAGGAAAGTCAATTATAACTGAGCCTCAGAAGATCTTTCCAGAGTTGAAATGGAGCAAGTTCAATGGATCTCTGGTGAGATTTCTCATGTCTGTCTCAGGCGCTGTCGTTCCTCGGCCTGGATGCCAGTGAGGAGAAGAGGAAGAAGCTGAAACAAAGTCTGATCCCAGACCCACAAGGCACAGTGGCTTATGGAGGTAGGGCACACACACACACACATGGGTGGGGTGGTGTTAAAGCAGGTCACATGTATCTGCAGGGTTGTCGGCAGCGAGTTGAGGGACGTGAGTAGAGATGCTGTCAGACCTCATGCTCTGTGTGATGGCTGTGTCACTGACTGTTTGGGACATGTTGTGTAACCATGAGGTGTGTGTCTGTGTCGAGACAGCCAATCAGAGAGAAGCATTTCTGTTGAATCCTGCTGAATTAACTGTCCACACCTGTTTACGTTCAAAGACTAGGTCTGGTTGTCTCACATTAAGGAGATTCTGGTCCGGGAGTCCCTCGCCGTGCAGGAATGTCCACTTTATCCCACAACTATCAGATAATGGCCGACATTTTCACTAGTGCTCATAAGTCAGCGCTTCCTGAAGCAGCTTTAGAGACACCTGGCCGACCTTGATCCAATAACTGAAGAAAGATGCAAACACTCTCATCTGTGTCAGAACCAGAGGACGACTCAAAGTGAGGGTTTGGGTTAGGCTCTAAAACCGTGGGCCTCTGGAACCGAATTAGAAAAGCTGTTGTTTCTGGATCAGAATCCTGCTCTGGGTTTCATATTTGTGATCTTTGTGCTCATATACTTTCAGACTTTGTGGAGGCATCCCAGAACATCTTCCAGGAGGAACTGGAGGAGCTAGCTTTGGGGTCGGGTCCCTTCACATTCTCCTACAGCGAAGCAGCCAGTCTAATGGACACGTCCGCCTTCCACTCACCTGTAAGCTCCGCCCACAACCAAATCCTAACCAGCGTGACGATTCGCCTGTGACTCAGTACCCTCTAAGCCCCGCCCTCCTAGGTTACTGTAGCTAACTCGGACAGGCCGCTGCAGCTAACTGCCTGTTTACAATGAGGTCGGTGCCAAAACAACTCTTCTACAAGCTCTTGGAGGCCACAAGGGTTAGCATCTGTGAAGAGCTTTCAGGAAGGTTGGATTTATGGCATGGGGGGGGGGGGGGGGGGGTTCAACATTTTCAATTGGATCTATATAAAAAAGTTGTGTCTGACGAGAGAAACGTCACTGATGATCAGCTTCGTTCATGTACAGCAGAATAATGTCCTTTACCATCCGTCTGCTAGGTGGTGCATGAACACTCCGCTTCATGGGGTTGATATTAACTTGTGTGACCTGATTACCTACTAAACATCCCTGTTCACAGTCTTCATGTTGAGGTGGCTGGTCTGCCACAAAGCAGATATTTCTACACGTGTCGTTGCGCTTTGGGAGATGGGATAGATTATCCTAGCCTCGGGCCCGCTGCTTAACCATTTCTGTGTCTTAAAACACAAATAAACACTATAAACAAACAAATAAATAAATAAATAAACAACTGCCTAAAGCCTCTCTGTTTTATAACAGGGTTAGGGTTAGATCAGGAATGCCTCTTTTTATTTATTTATTTATTTTTTCATTTTGATGTCTGCCACACTCCAACTCACCGCTGCAACAACTCTGTGCCACTGGAAGGCAATAAAATGTGTTTCCGTGCCTCTACGTCACTCACCACTAGGGCTTGTATCAACTAGTCGACTAGTCGACTTCACCGCTCTGTAGTGACTTTTTATGCCTTTCATCGACTAGTTGCTGTCACGTGATAATGACCAACAAGATGCAGTCCTCGGAAAAGAAAGCAGGTGACAAGCTCCTGCACGTTGGGAGGCGACGCGCTGTGCCAGAGCGTCGGTACTGACACCCGCGGTAAAACGGACATTTGACCGAATTGTGACCTTTACCCTCTTGCAATGTAACCTTCCCCTCACCCCCATCCTAACCAGCTAGCACATGCAAAGCTCTGATCGTTGACGCACTCCAGACATCTGCGTCCTGAGCACGGCCACAGTAACATTATCAAATCAGGTGTCGCCACCTCAAAAACAAATTTAACACGCCATCGTTCATGTCGGCTCATTTCCTTTTATGTTTTCTGTTTTTTGTTTGTGCCTGATGCGTTTCGCTGCTGTGGAGCGGGGCGCATCACCTGTTTTGTCCTCGGTGACGCACCTTATCGGTGCGGCCGGCGAGCACTCCGTTTTTGCGGTCGGTAGATCTTTTAGAACTGCAGTTCAAAGGTAACTCATAAGGTGAATATATATGAACCCAGGTAGCAGTTTTTCTTTAGGATTGAGAGGAGATGCAGGAAGATAATAAACAGATACAGGACAGAAAAATAGTAAAATAAAAACAAATTAGTTTTTGTACCTGGTGGTTGCAACAAACAGACACCATTGAAGGTAATCAGAAGTGAGGAACAGAAAATGAAATAATTATTTTAATGTTGAGAGCAGCAGGAACTCCGAGAGGCTGCAGGCGCATCAGTGAGTTTGCAGGCGCTGCACGGGGGGGGGGGGGGGGGGGGGGGGGGGCATTTTAATTGTCAAAAACTCAGCGAACCAACCCGCCCCCACCCCCGCCGCTTCAGGTGTATGACGTCATCAACGAGTAGTCAAAGTCGACTCGATTTTCATTACTTGACTGCCGACTTTAAAAAAATTAAGTCGTGCAACCCCTACTCCCCACCACGATTTTAGTCTCACTGTGTTTTCTGGACTTCTCAGTTGCCATGGTTACTCGAGAAATTCCACGGATCAGCCAGCTTATGTGGATGTGGAGTGTTCAAAAAGTACTTTGCATTGAACATTAATGGCAGAAAGTGGGTGTTTATGAGGTGGGGTATGACCCAACATCAGCTGAGCACGTTTTTAGGAAGGGTGGGATTCAGAAAGCAGAAACTGAGTGCAGCTGCGCCTAATTAAGGTGCATGTAAATTATTTGCTCAAAATAATAAAAGTTGAAGTAAGGATTCTATGCAAAGTGTTGAGAATGAGACCCCTGTCGTTTGCCACACTCGGAAATGCCTTTGCAGCTCTGGTTTGAAGTGTCTCTGCTGTGTCTGCAGACGTATGAATCAGAAAGCAGCTACAGCAGTGAGGAGATGGAGCAGTTTCAGACCGAGGTGAAGCAGCTGCAGACTCAGATGAAGCAGCTCAAGGTAAACACACAACTTCTGAAAAATACTCGTCAAACTCAACCGCACGCTAATCTTCTCCCAAAACACAGAATAGCAGCACCCCCCGATCCGTTCGGAGGTACTGATGGTCCGCCTCACCAGTCTAAACATCGAACGCTGCAGTTACCAGTGTGGACCGGTACGCTCTTGGCTAACCAGGACATTAACCAGTCCGTCTCTACGTCCTGTGCACCCCCCACCCCACCCCCACCTATGATAATGATATAAAAATAATGATGATTATGAAAAAAATGTGTTCCCCTGTTTTCTTATATTTTATGACATAGCTGAGGTCTCAGATCAGGAAAATGTGATTGGAACATCCCTTCATACAATCATTACCTTTCCTCCACTTATGTGAGTCATCTTTAATACAACAGGATCCAAGGGGAGGGGGGGCACCACTTAAAGCCTCTTTCCGGAGCATTTCCCTTATCCGATAGCACCATCGAGTGACTGACAAGCATATCACACAAAAAGTCTGTCACTCTGTTTTTTTAAGATGGCAACTTCACGTTTCTGTTTATAAATGTGCTTCTGTAGCGACAAACAGCTAAACACGTTGTTTTACGAGTATTACTCTCATGTCATGTTGTGTTCTCATATCTTTTCCACACTCGACTACTTTCTTCTACAATCTGCTCTTTAACTGTATTATTTCCTGCTATTTCAGCTGTTAACTTTATTTTCTCTCTAAGTGTTTTTCTCCCCAGAAGAAGCTACAATGATGTTCTGCTGAGCTGTGGTGACCTCATGGAGGGGGCCATCGTCTAGCACACTGCTGTTAACCACTTAAACATTCTCCCTCTCCTGATAATAACACTTTACTCTATTTGACATTGAATGTGCTACTACTAGTTTACCCGTTTAATTATAGATTCTCTAGGATAAATACAATAAAGTTTATCTCTCACCTAATAGAATATTTACTAAGAAATCACAACGTAACCATAGAAACACTACTTGGGGTGTGTGTGTATGTGTGTGTGTGCTCTGTCTTCTCCATCCCCAGTGAGTCGTGGAGGATGGCTGCTTATACTGAGCCAGGATTCTCTGGAGGTTTCTTCCTGTTAAAAGGGAATTTTCCTCTCCACTGTCGCTGCATGCTTGCTGAGGATTGCTGTAAAGACTCTGACACTAGTCAGTGACTCGATGCAACCTGCTGGGTTCCTCATATAGGAAACTCATTACTGATTGGCTTAATGAACTGACCTGTATTGGAATGTTTATTATGTGAAGTGCCTTGAGACGACTCTTGTCATGAATTGAATATTTTAGAGACTTTCTTGTCCGTGAAAAGTTCATCAGCTCTGCATCAGCCGAGGTATTCCTTAAACGTGAAGCAAGTAAGCGGTAGTCTAACGCTATTGGTTAGTTCTGGTCGGCGCTCAGTTTGCTATTGCACGGCGCTCTGTGGGGCAGGGGGGCGTGCTTGGCAGTTACATTACACTTATTACTTACATTATCACAGTACATGATGAGATAATCACTTTTATGGATTTCTGATAAACCATACATCATTTCTGAATGGGGGAAACTCCAGAAAGCTACTTTAAGTCAGGAATACAGCTAAGTACTTTATCCCAGAGGTCCTGGACCCCAGGACATTCCTGTACAACATAAATAAACGAGCCCAGAGTCCCAGCGGAAATGAGCAACGAGGATCTAAGAGGATGAGGAAAAAAAGATCTGCTGCGCCCATTTTAAGTTTAATATTTTGTGTCAAATGAGACAAAGTTTCAGATGTACATATCAGAGGTCACCCTACACATTTTCGACTGACAGGCTGTTTTTAATCCCCATCTCTTTATTGGCACTGATCAGGCAGTGATGTCATTGAAGCTCAACTTTTCCCGATTTCACCGGCACATCAAAGCCCGAAGGCCCAGCCGAGGAGGAAGGATGTATTTTTAGAGGATTTCACTGTTTGAGCAGAGGCGTGACTCCATCTCTCCCTCCCTTTGGCAGGTGATGTTGAAGGAGATGGAGCTCAGCAAGAAAAGTCTTGAAGAACAGCTGCAGAAGACTTCAGAGGTCGACACAAGTCTTGTTCTGTTACTCCTTTAATTCTGTGTAGATGCTGACGCCCATCTCTTACAAGTCGCCTCTAGTAGATCGTTATAAAACACCAAGTTGAACACCTGAAAGATGCTCCTTCTCTGCTTCCTCCCAGAAAGCTTGTCTGACTGTGGAGGAGAACGCCCGTCTGAAGAGCCGTCTGCAGGCAGCAGAGGCTGAGGTGGTACAGCGGCAGACCGGCGGTGCTGAGCAGGACTATGAGGAGGTGATCCAGCTGCTGGAGGCTGAAATCGAAGACCTGAAGAACCAGCTGGCTGGTAGGAGACCGGGGCGTTTGCTGGACGCCACCAAGGAGAGCCCAAAGCAGGTGTGTGTGTGATGGGACGACTGCTTGCTGGGTTGGTTGGTTGATCAGCGTGAGATATTGAAGGTGTGGCATGAGCGTGTGAAGAGGGTCAAACGCGAGTGTCTCACGCTCAGTGGGTGAGAGTTGGCAGCCCTGGCCCCCACAGGGTATATGAGGTGATGTCAGCCATGAGGAGGGACTGTTGGAAACCTCCGGAGGGTCAGGAAGTCCGGTTTTGTACTCGGTTCTTTTTCTGTGCTTTTAAGATAAAACTGAATCACTGCCTCATCTTTTTATTGAAGTTTTGTGGTGTTAACGCTAAAGTTAGCCGCCATAGTCTGAACTGGTTGAAAAGCTACGAGAGGAAAGAACCAGGTAGTTCGGACCGGACCGGTTCTGGCGGAGCTGCAGCCAGCCGCGGACCGGATCACGGACTAAAACATGACGGTATCGACAGGTGCTCTACATCAAGTCGGGCTCGGACCGGGAGAAGAAAACGTGATTGGAAGTTGAAAATATATTTGTTCTCTCTAACCTGCCGTTAGATCCTTGTTGATGAAAAACCTTTAAACAAACTTAGACTTTCCACAGTTTTACCTAATCTGACCTGCTGTGTGTGTGTGTGTGTGTGTGTGTGTGTGTGTGTGTGTGTGTGTGTGTGTGTGTGTGTGTGTGTGTGTGTGTGTGTGTGTGTGTGTGTGTGTGTGTGTGTGTGTGTGTGTGTGTTGTAGGAAGAGGTTGTGGAATTGAACAGGAGGTTGACAACCATTGATTCTCAGCTGAGAAAGTCTGAGCTGAGCAGAAAGCAGCTGGAGATCTCTAACAAGAAGCTGCTGGGCTTTGCTGAGGTATGACGACTTTTAGCACACGCACACACACACACACACACACACACACACACCAATGTTTCCTTAAAACTGTAGGATGCACACGTCAGGTCAGAACTGACCATACTGACAGAAACAAAGTTTCTACACAGACATGTTTAATGTTGTATTTAAAATTTATCTGACCAGGAAGAAAATTTTATTGCGATAAAAAAAATTTCACAGCCTTGGTTAAGATTGGCAGCGGCGAGCATGCCCCCTGTGGTCATCACAGGAATGACAGGCCACAGTCAATCAAAACTTAAGTAGAACAAACAGAGCCACCTCAACTGGCTCCTCTCGACGTGGAGGAGCAGCGGGTCTACTCCGAGCCCCTCCCGAATGACCGAGCTTCTCACCCCATCTCTGAGGGAGAGCCCAGCCACTCTGCGGAGAAACCTCATTTCGGCCGCTTGTGTCCGCGATCTCGTTCTTTCTGTCACTACCCAAAGCTCATGACCATAGGCAAGGGTAGGAACATAGATCGACTGGTAAATCGAGAGCTTCGCCGTCCGGCTCAGCTCTCTCTTCACCACGACAGACCGGTACAACGCCCGCATCACTGCAGATGCAGCACCAATCCGCCTATCGATCTCACGCTCCAGTTTTCCCTCACTCGTGAACAAGACCCCGAGATACTTTAACTCCTCCACTTGGGGCAGGACCTCATCCCTGACCCAGAGAAGGCATTCTACCCTTTTCCGAATCAAGACCGTGGTCTCAGATTTAGAGGAGCTGATTCTCATCCCAGCTGCTTCACACTCGGCGGCAAACCGCTCCAGTGAGAGCCAGAGATCTCGTTCTGATGAAGCCAACGCGACCACATCATCCTGCCAAAAGCAGAGACCTGATCCTCAGGCCACCAAAACAGATCCCTTCAACACCTTGGCTGCACCTAGAAATCTTGTCCATAAAAGCTTTGAACAGAATTAGTGACAAAGGGCAGCCTCGGTCAGACTCACCGGGAAAAAGCCCGACTTACTGCCGGCAATGCGAACCAGGCTCTGAAACCACGATCACCACTGGGTCCTCAGCAGTTTGACCCTGAAGGAAGTCTAAAGATGCATGTAGATACCACCTAGGCTGGTCCTCTGTGGAGACCCTGCCTCACTCAGTAAGTTCTAACAGTAGAACACACTGCACGCACCTTCTTTAGTAAACGGGAAAAATGGCCGATTGAAATAATGTTCCTAAACTTCGATAATGTGAAAGTTGCTAAATAAAATTCAATATTGATACAGTTCCACTTTCAGGTTGCCATGGTGACTCAGAATAGCCTGAAGTTCCCTCTACAGTTCTGCACTGGTCCAGTTTTTACATACATGCTTTTGTTTTTCATCAACAGAACGTCCACAAAGTGCTGACTACACCCAGTCTGCATGGAGGCGAGGGCGGGTGAGACGCCAACAATCGCCAGTGAGTAGTCTACAGTCTTCAGTGCAACCTAATCCCTTCTGTGTGTGTGTGTGTGCGTGCGTGTGTGTGTGTGTGTTGTTTTAGGAGCAACGGGTTGTTTCCAGCTACAGAGAGCTCCACAGTCCCATCACCACACCCTGACCCCACCTTCCGGCTGGCTGCAGAGGCCAAGGAGCTGGTGGGTGGGGGGTGTACTGCCACTGCTGAAGACAAAGGTACAGAAAACCAAATCCTAAGCTGCGATGCTCTTCGTTGTCAGAATGTCTCGTTTCAGGAGACGCATCAGTGCTGTGAGTGTGAACCTGAGTAACCTCAGACCCACACCTGCTCTCTAAAGCCTCGAGCGACCTGTGGGTCAGGTGCTGAACATCTCCAGAAATCTGGTCCCACAACAGCACCAGATGGTTAGAAATCTGACAGAATACGTTTATAAATAAACCTGTCAGACACTGGGAACCGATTTCCCCATCAATAAAAAATAGAGCCGGCAAAATAATACGACAGGTGTTTTATTTTGAAATAAACCAGATGTACATTGCTGAAACACACATCGCTTCCTGTCTGGCTCAAGTCATTTCTAAAACTCCGGGACAATCCGCAAGTGTCCGGAAAAAACAGATTCCATGTGGAAACTTCCAGAGGTGTGGACTCGAGTCACATGACTTGGACTCGAGTCATTATTTTAATTACTTCTGACATGACTTGATAAAATCTATAAAGACTTACAACATGACTTGAACTTGAACGCCAATGACTTGCGACTTGAATCTTTTGACTTGAGCATATTTTGATATTTTAGCACAAAAGTGACACGACGTAAAACACTGCATCACTCTTGGTTCTGCTGAATGCAGCAGCTCTGTTTATAATCTAGTTCAGTTTCTGCTTGTTGGAGCGAAGAAATAAAGCTTTCACTCTGGAACGTATTTATTACCATCGTCCTTAAACTGAAGTTGGACAGATGACTTGGTTATGACTTGAAAATTCAAAGTTCTTTAACTTCCAGATCATTGACTTGACTTGGTTGTCTTTGACTTGGACTTGACCGGAAAGACTTGTGACTTGCAGTGACTTGGTCACACCTCTGGGAACTTCCCAGAGCGCTGCATCAGAACCGCACCACAGCCGGTGTGAATGCTCGCACTGGACCACGCTTTTCTCGCCCACGTGGAAGCTGTGCGGAAACCGGACCTGCATCCGGACAGCGGCTCAACCGTGTAATGACTCTTGACGCGACCTGTTAAATTTGTGAGTTTTTACTTCCACCTCGCCGCGGCTCCGCAGCGTTTGTCCTGCTGATGACTCGTGACGGATAAAGAAACATTAATGTTTGTCAGGATCGGTTTAACCTGCAGATTCCTGGTAAATCTGAGCCTTTAGCCTGACTGTACCTTCATTGTTTTATGATGTCATCAGGAATGACTCTGTTCACCTGTCTGACCTGCAGCTTTAGATGCGATGTCTCATCACGTGTGAGTCTCCATGAGCCAACGCTGCCACGACAGAGAAAATCCTTCCACCACTGGGACGAAGCAGCTCCACCTCAGAAAACACAACATGACTTCCACAAACCCAAACTTCAGTGACAGATCCTGTTTTTAGGGCAGAGTTGACGTCGTCAGCGTCCTGCCAAAATGTTTTACAGCCGCTGGTGTTGAGTGCACTGCATGACCTAGTGCATAACACACACACACACACACACACACACACACACACACACACGCTGCTGCTAGTAACCCTTCCTGATGTCTTTTGTAACCCTGCACACTCACAGGACTGCATGTGAAGGTGCGTTCGCTTAGACGGGACAGTCCACAGCCGTCTCTGCTCGGACATGAGAGGTTCTGAGCTGCTGAGTCTCTCAGCCAAGGTGAGTGCTACTTTGGACAATATCCGGGTAACGGAACCACGGCATCGCCTTAAGACTTTTTCAAGAGAAAAAAAAAGCCTGTTTGTTTCTGACCACCACTTCTAAGCCTCCGACTCACAACCCACGGTGTAGAGCTGAAGGGGCCTCTTGGATGAGAAGCTAAGCATCTCCAAGATAAGCAGAAGAGTCCAGCTGTTTTCAGTTTACCCTCTCATGATGATCGCGTCCAGGACGACAGACGCTACGCCGCCATGCTGCAGCGAGTCAGTCAACAGGACATCACTTGCATGCAGCTGCTGTCAGGAACCAACAGACTGGAGCAGAAAGTCACAGCAGTCTCGTCGTTGCATGTTGAGGTTTATTTATCACCGGTAGGGGGCTCCTGCTGAGAGCAGTGGGCGGAGCCTAGTGTCTTCCACCACTGACGAAAGCTGCTCATCCAGCACCATGGTGACCTATGCTGCTCCGGCTCCGCCCACTGCTTATTCGTGAAAAATCATGTTAAATCTGCTGCGATGACACGTTTTATCAAGCTTCCCCGCACGGTACGTTTTTCTGCAAGATGCAAAACCTTTCTTCATTCTCACAGACGCAGAGGTTCTGCCAAGTCTTCGCCGCTGCCCACCAGCGCTGTGCGGATGAAGGGAGATGCTACGCTGCACGTAGTCTCTGCAGGCTTTGATCAGACTCGCGTGTTTTTCAGAGATAACCATCAGCTGCCGATCCATCAGAGCATCCCTGAAGCTACGTGTTGGAACATTTTGTGGCATTAAAATATCTGGCTGTGTAATTTAACCAGACAATGTCTTTGGTGTGGCCTCATGTTCTTTCTGCTGTTTTATATTAAAGGAATAATCAACTGGAGCTGGTGTCGTGTTTCCTCCTCCCCTCGGGCCAGGCTTCTGGCTGCATGCAGAACAATCTGGACTGAACTCAGATCAGCTCAGACTAGCGTAGACTTCAGGGTTTTAATCTCAAACCTGCAACACAAGTTACTAGCTCAGCTTTCTCTGGGGATCTGTGAAAACAAAGGTTGATTTTAACCTCTAAAGCGACCAGGACTTGATGACGTAGTTAGTTCTGTCGCGGCACTGTTGTGACTCGGCTAATAACAGTTCAATTAAAAGTTCAAATGTACAATAAATATGTTGTTCTTTCCGTCATCTGTTGGGCTAGAGGCTGTAGGACCGCGGGGCTTCTGATAAAACCAGAGTTCTGCATCAGGACCGGACGGTCCACATCTAAAACTGCTGCTGGTGAGAGAAGGGGGGTGAGCCCACGCTGCAGATATTTGAACCAAACGAGCTGGGGGTCACTCCCAGAATGCCCTCTGTGTGCGGCGTCTCCCCACCCAGGAAGTCGTCCTCATCCTCCTTCACGACCTGACAAACAGGATAAACGGGTCAGATTTTAATAGGAGCCTTTAAACCGTTGAAACTGTCCAGCAGAGTGAACATCAACAACCACGTAGAGCTAGCTCAGTCAGAACTTGGGTCTGAAAGTAGAGTGTTCCAGACCAGACCAATGGAGACTAGAAATCTGGGGCCTCATTTATAAAACTTTACATAGAATCTTAAATAAAACGACTTAAAGAGCAAGTCACCCCCAAATCAGCTTTTTTCCCCTGATAAAACTATATAAATGCGTGTCTAATCGTGCTGCAGACAGGTGTAGTCAATAGTTTAGCACTTTAGTGCATTTCAGTTAAAATTTAAATATTCTGCCTAAAACTGTCAGTGTTGTGCCGTTGTACGGTAAAAACTCTGCACTGCAGTTGAATTTAAATCTGCCACCGCTATTGGCTAATAGGTATGCTATGATGTAAACTGGTACATTATGATGTCACAATCCCGTTGTGAGCCTGTGTGTGTGTGTATTTGTTAGTGGCTCCGCCCTCTTGGTCTGCTAGGCAACATCATTTGTTGCATTTTTTAAACATGAAGAGGGAGTGAAGTAAGTTTCTTGTAGGGGGTGACTTGCTCTTTAAGCTGGCAAAAATAATAAATCACCAAAGTCAAACCAATTCCTGCATTATTAATCACACTTTTGGAGCAGATGTCATTAGTGGGCACTTTACTGGTAACCTGCATATGAACAAGCCGGCTGATCGGGGGCATTTTACGGGTTACCATGGTAACAGAGGTTTTTAGAAGGCTGGATTTGAGATGCTTGTGAAGCTCACCGCTGCAGCGGCCACCCTGTTTGACGTGGAGCTGCAGAGACATACGTGCGATACTTTAAAGAGCAAGCCACCCCAAATAATCTTTTTTTTGCTGATGATCTATATAAATGAGACTAACGGGGGTGTAACGGTACGCTAAAATCGTATTTGGGTCGGTTCAGCGTTTTAAAGAGTTTGGTTTGATTAATTTTCTGTATATTATTATTATATTTATTTAATAATATCTAAAGTGGCTCCTATAGTGAGCAGAAGCAGGTGTCATCACAGGCTGCTGATCTAGCATGACGTCTTTTAATAATTTCACAGGTTGTGTGTGCAGCTATGAGTGTCGCGCTCAGACAGACCAGTGTTGTGTTTGACTGTTGATGCTCCTGTTTTTATTTCTGCAGCGAGCCTTAAAAACTCGTACTAAATAACGAGCTTCCTCCGCGCCACATTTTCAGTGTAGGATGAAAACTTTACACCAACTGTCCCAGGGGGAAAGTGCAGCAGACGTGTTGGTTTACATGTTTGCTGCTGCGTGTGTGAGAGGGGGGGGGAAAGGGGCGGGGCTCCATCTGCTCTGAAAGGCGTTGATCAGAATTAGCAGATCACATTTTTTAAACAGAGATCGAGCGCGTGCAGCCATCACGCGTCCGTGCAGAAAGTCGCCTAGAAACTTTTATCTGCTGCTCTTGAATCACGCAAATAAAAATTATTTAACGGAAAATGAACCGAAACGGTTCAACGCCCCCGTGAACCGTTACACCCCTGGTGTTTAATCTTACTGTTGACACAGGTAGTCAGTAATTTGGCACTGTAGTGCAACCACCATCAGAACCACCATCAGAACCACCATCAGAACCACCATCAGAACCACTAGGACCAGGCTAACTCGTGCTCAGGTGTCTGAGCTGTGTGAATTCAGCTGAACATGTTCCTCTCTGTCAGCAAGCGGAATGTTCTGCAGGTTCTGCTCCACAATATTTTATTGAAAGATGTTTTGCTGCGTGATGACTCCACTAGACACCCTCTCACCTGTTGGTCCAGTTTGTTTGGAAGCACGTCTGTGTCTGAAGGTTCCTCCCAGACCTGATAGAGAGGCTCGATCAGCTGACCTGATCTGCACACACACACACACCCTTTTAGCCTGCTGACTATTACAGGTCTGCGTTAACGACTCCAGAACCAATCAGTGCACCTCTTGAGCAAGTAGGGGTCAAAGGGGAAGAAGCTGTCCAGAGGGTTGATGTTGGTGCTTACTCCATCTCCTCCGGCGGAGCTGCGGACCACTGGCAGCACCTGTCTGTTGTTCCTCTCTATGATGGTGTAGCAGAACACCACCTGATACTTCCTGAAACAAAACCAGCAGGTAAGTTCTAATGAGAACTAGAACACGGGCCACGGTCAGAAGAGACTCGCAGCCGGGCCCTCCTCCACCTCCAGAGCGACCGGGTCAGCTGGATTACCTGGTGAAGGCAGCAAACATGGTGGTAACTGAAGGTAGGCAGACTTTGAGGGGGTTCAGCTGACACATCACCACCCGCTCCAGGTTCAGACCCTGCAGGTACTCCAGACCTGGTACCAAGTCAAACACAAAGCCTGAGATCAGCTGGCTTCCTGCCCTGTTCTCCGTACGAACAGCAGAGAGGAGCCGTGGGAGGGCAGTACCTTTTTTCATGTTTGCCTCCAGAATGGCTCTGTGTCTGAAGATGAGAGTGTAGAAGACAGCCTGACAGGCAGCGTAGAAGGGCCCATGCAGGCTGATGTCACAACACACCTGCCTGCTGCCGTTGTCCTGGCTGTCTATGTAGCGATGAATCCAGGAGAGCAGCAGGTCCAGACAGGCCCTCAGAGTTCTGGTGGGCAGGAGATGCCGGACGGCAGGTTACACACTCCAGCAGAAAGCGGACACGTTCTCTTCAGCAGAAACTTTACGCCAACTCACAGCACAGGAACAAACTTGGCTCGAGCCAGAAAACTTCCCAGGTACCCAGCAGCAGTCTGACGCAGGACAGCGGGCCAAGACGGGTTCTGCAGGATCTTCCACAGGTAATCCAGGAAGGCCTCTGCCAGGGCCTGAGACAGAAACACAGGAAGTACAGGTGCAGGATCTCAGTGGGGTAAAACCTTCCCGCGTTCCCGTGACACTTAAGAGCTGCGTGTGTAAGGTAGTGATGAGAAAGCAACTCCTGCTGCAGCTCCACACGGGCTAAAGCCAGCGTTAGCAACCACGGTGGGACCAATTCAGCTGCCTTTGCTGTCTGTAGGCATTTTCTCTTTGTTTACTAGCGTTTCTTTCTGTGTCCGAGACTAAAAGTCTCAGATAAGAATCTTGTGTCTGTTCTAGTCTTGTCAGTGCTGCCTTTGACAAAGTTGATCACAATGTTCTTGTAGAAAGGCGTGAACATGTTGTAGGGATCAAAGGAGCAGCATTAGGCTGGTTTAAATCCTACCTGTCTGATAGATTTCATTTTGTAAACGTACATGACAAATCTTCTTCATACTCCAGGGTTACTTGTGGAGTACCACAGGGTTCAGCGCTTGGACCAATTCTTTTTACTTTATATCAATCAATCAATCAAAGCTTTATTTATAAAGCGCCTTCCGCGACCCTGTCGGGAAGCCCAAGGTGCTGAACATGGTACATGAGAAATGTGAAACATGATGAATAAATCGAAAATAAAAGCAATTCAAAGAGTGCGAAAAAGGTAAAACATTAAAGTAGAATACAAATGGGTAAAACAAGGGATAAAGAGACCAATGAAAACAGGGAAATAAAATCAACATGAAAGAGGGCCGACCTCAAACACGTTCAGGAAACGCCAAGCGGAGGAGGTGGGTTTTTAGGCGACTCTTAAAGACCATCAGAGAAGGGGACAGCCTAACTGAGGGTGGTAACTGGTTCCAGAGTAACGGGGCTAGGACTGAGAAAGCCCGGTCCCCGCGAGTACGACACCTAGACCGAGGGACAGCGAGCACGCCTTGGTCAGAGCGCGTGATGGGGAGTGTCTGTTCAGGAGTGTGGCCAGATAGGGGGGAGCACCACCCTGGAAGAAATTGTAAACAAAGACGAGGAGTTTGAATGATAACAGACCGGAAGCCAGGGCAGGGAGGCCAGAACCAGACCAATGTGGTCCCATTTCCTGGTCCCAGTCAGGAACCTGGCTGCGCTGTTCTGCACAACCTGTAGGTGGCGCAGTGATGACTGACACAGCCCTGCATAGAGAGAGTTGCAGTAATAAAGCTTAGAAATTACAAAAGTATGGAGTACCCGCTTCAGGTGGGCTCTCGACAGCATAGGCTTGGTTTTTGCAAGGCGTCTCAGGTGAAAGAAACTGGACCGGATCACTGAGTTGATGTGAGCATCAAACTTAAGTCCAGCGTCAATTTTCCCCCCCAAACTGGTAACAACTGGTTTTGAGTAGGGAGAAAGAGGGCCAAGATCAACATGATGACCCACATTCCTGCTGTTGGGGTGAAAAACTATGAGGTGTGTGTGCGTGTGTGTGTGTTCTCTGTCTTCTCGATCCCCAGTGAGTCGTGGAGGATGGCTGCTTATACTGAGCCAGGATTCTCTGGAGGTTTCTTCCTATTAAAAGGGAGTTTTCCTCTCCACTGTCGCTGCATGCTTGCTTAGTATGAGGATTGCTGTAAAGACTCTGACACTAGTCAGTGACTCGATGCGACCTGCTGGGTTCCTTATATAGGAAACTTGTTACTGATTGGCCTAACGAACTGACCTGTATTGGAACGTTTACTGTGTGAAGGTCTTTGAGACGACTCTGGTCGTGATTTGGTGCTTTATAAATAAACTTGAATTGCCAGCTGGCTCTGTGTTTTTGTTCGAGTTGCTGAAGTGAACGGAGTATTGAGCTCTGCTTTGGCTGGATGTTTTAAGGTGGCGGACAAGATCCTAATGCAGACAGCTGTGGCAACACCTGAAGGGAAAAGTCGAAAAAGAAAGAAGTTTGTTTTCAAGGTAACATCTATTCTTAGTGTTGAACGCAGCTCTGTCTGTTCCAGCCTGTTGAGTTTGCACACATTACGAGTGTCTGTAGCTCTGCCTTCGCTGTCCGGTTTACAACACGTCAAAACAGAAAACATCTTAGGTGTGTTCTTGCTGTGTCGTGGTTCTAATTCCATGCTTTCGTTCTTTTTAAACACAGAAACAGTTTTGTTTACCTGTTTTGTAAACAAAACTGTTTCTGTGTTTAAAAAGAACGAAAGCATGGAAAACAGAAAACATTTCCTCTCTCCTGATGTCAGCTCTGTGTTACATGTTATGTAGTCTGAATTCCCACCTGGCCCTAAACTGTGTGATGCTATGGTGTTGCTGTCATCTAAGAAAGAATACGGGTGTAAAACTAAGTCATTCTTATTCCATTTTAAAACCCATCTCAGGGTGACTTCAGAAAGTCGTGTTTGCGGTTTTAAAAGGTTAAATCCGATCTTTCCACCCGATTCTGATCGCTGATCACATGACAGGGTTTTTCCTGCGTTCAAATTTGCGTGGCGGCCGCCTCCAGCTATTGTTGTGCCGCCCCAGTGTGATTTCACTCTGCCCCCAGCTATATGGATGTTATTTTAACTGCAGTTGCAGCGTTGCGCCACTATAGGGGCGCTGTATCAGCAGCGGTGCACCAAAAAGCACTAAAACCGCTGTAGAAAAAGATCAAAAATAGCTTTTCTCACTAGTTGGTACATATCAGTGGTTGGAGCTATTGTAGGCTGACCATACGTCTTCTTTCCCCCGGACATGTCCACTTCGGGGGTTTTCCTACATTGATCAAAATGTCCGGTTTTTCATCCAGCAGGGATCGAGTTATGGGGCTAGATATCTGTCAGGGAAAGATCCAGTTTCTGCCTATGTTACAATATTTATGGACTCTCAGCGTAGCGGGATGTTGTTGAGCGGAGAAGATGCAGAGTGCTGATCGTTGGTGCACCTGCTGCGTCCTGCACACCATACATTCTCAAGGTGGTGCAACAAAACTATTGTTATTAACACATGATCGTTCATATCTGTTTAAATCCTCTGGTATTCTGTCTTTTAATCGTTCCTGACGCGCTCCGCTCATCGTGTGCTGCAGTGATGTCACCTCACGCAGCATCGAAACGCGCACTCCGCTTTGCGGTCAGGAGATCCCTTTGATCTGCTAAAAAGTTACTGATGAGGTGAAAAAGTAAGAATCCAGGCAGCAGTTTTTCTGGAGAGTTTAGAGGAGATGCAGGAAGATGAGAGATAGACAGGACAGGAAAATAGTTCAATAAAAACAAGAAAACAAAACAAAGTGTTGAAAAGTCAAATGTAGGTAGATTTATCTCCACTACACGTTTTAACCTGTATAAAACAATAAGTTATACACATGTCGTATTTACACATCTGATACAATTCAGATCACCTTCAAAATTCAGTCACACACCAGGGCCGTTTCAAGGCATTTTGGGGGCCAAGGCAAAACGGAGCCCCCCCAACCCCGACCCGTACATAATAGACATGCCAACATTGCATTGTTAGCAGCAGAAATTAAATGTTTTACCATTTCCAACGCAAATGCATGTTAATGAAATGCATTATATTGTATTGGATATATTTATGTTATTTTGACTGAGATGAGTGTTATTAATACAAACCTAAAATGTTACTGAAATGTATTTTTAACTATAAATATCAGATGGGAAAAAGGGAACTAAACACCAATCTGATGCATATTATTGAGCCTTTTATAATATTTAGCCTTTAGAAAAGTGAGGCAGTTGAATGCACAGTGTGCATGTGCTGGCGCACGGTCAGGATGGTACCTCCTCTGCCTCAGTTTGAGCCAGGAAAAACCTGCATGATCAGGCCTGGTTTCCGATCAAAGTATTCATAGTCACTAGGATGTGAGTACTCACCAGTCTGAAGCTGCAGAGATAAAACAGTATGTACTGGACATGAGAGGAGGCGTGTGTGGGCAGGATGAGCTTCTCAAACACAACCAGCAAGTCCTTAAACAGCTCCTTTGTTCTCTCCACATGCAGCAAACCTGCAAGAGAGGACAAACACTCCGGGTGTTTCTCAATGTCAAGAAACCTTGCCTTGATGTCTTGTCAGTGCCCCGGTTGCCTAGGAGATACGTCATCAGGAGCCGCCAAGGCGTGTTCCAATCGGCTCCAATGTTCATGTTCTACCGAGGCGTGTGTTCTCCGTTTGTTAGCCGTTTAGCTAGCTGAGGGAGGATACACGGGAGGTGTACTGGAGCCTAGCCTCGGTCAAAAATTACCCAGAATACACCACAGTATTTTCAAAAGGACGGCGGATCAGAAGCCCGGTGTCGGTACCGGATCTGTTTGGGGTCCTTCGACTGCCGATGACGTCACATGACTGCAAATCTACTCGGCTTTCACACACACACACGTTTTGGAAAGACATCAGCAGTTTAGTTAATAAATTCTTGTTTGTTACCATATAAATGTTTTCTTTATAATTGCAATTTGTTAATAAAACACCACATTATCTTTGTTTTGTAAAGAATGTGAAACTGCATAAAACCAACATCGGACTGACAAACAATAGAACAGTTCTTATATGTGAAGCCACGTCTGTTTGTATTAATGTGGAGTTCGTCTGTTTATTTCCTTAGTTGTTATCTAAATACATTCTTTGACTCTAAATATTGCTTGGTGTCTTTCAATAAAGTTCTTATATTTTATTTTGCCCCATTTCATCAACATCAAGAGCTTTTGAGGGTCACCGTTTATCATTTGCTTATATTTTACATTTCCTTTAGAAATTCAAACATATTTTCTCCAAAACGTGTTGATTTTTGGACTACAGGACTACAACCGCTAGGACTACGACCGCTAATTTGTTCTGACCAATCAGAATCATAACGTGATACGTCACTTCCATAAACTTCATGTTCAGCCAATAAACTACTTTAACGTCATCAGCAGTCGAAGGACCCCGAGCACCGGCAGCTACTTCGGGGACAAATTTCAAGTTTAAAAGTAAGTCAACTAATTAAAAATGTTTTTTTTAGATCCAAAGAAGTTACCTATGGTTGGTTAGTTGCTTAGTAGTTGCAGCTTCGGTGGCTAGCGGGTAGCAACTCACTTATATTTTTAATTTAATAAACATATACACAGTTTAAAAAGTAAAAGGCTCGTTATATATTGATATTGAAACTAATACGTATAAAATATAACGTTATCTCCCGTGTCACGTGACGTTAAGTGACCGCCGTGGAAGCCGCGGTCACGTGATGCAAGTCTGTTCCACTTAACCGTTTTCTTTGACCAAGGAAGGACCGTATCCTCGCAAGGCCAGGCGCCTCGACATTGATAAACACCCTCCGTTTCACCAAACAGGACGCACGCTTCACAACAGAAACACCTGAAGCTACAAATGGAAGCGCTTTCTTTAAAAGTTCTGCTTAAAAACTGGATTTCACACAGGGAGAAAACCCATAATGCTCATGTTAACAGCGCTGTTAGTGTGTGTTAGAGGAGGGCGGAGCCTCGTAGTGATTCGTGTACCGTCAACATGGCAGACATCTTTGATGTAGGCCATGAGAACCACCATGAGCACGTCCAGCCTCTCAGCCACGGGGTGGACCATCACACTCGTCCTGGCTGGCCGGTCAGCTGACATGTCCTCGTCCTTATCATCAACACACACACACACACAAACACACACAGTGAGGCAGTGTGATGTTCAACAACAAACACTTTACTTCCTATCTGAGCTAAAGAAAACTGTGCAGTTGGCTCAGGCTGCACACATGAGAATAGGGGGCGGTGCTTCTGACCCATCTGCCAATAACAGAGGATGTAACGCTTTACCTGTTTAATCAGAAAGGTGTCAGTCCGACGTGTAAAGCTAAAAGTTAAAATATGTTGGATTTTTGACGAAAGGCTTGTTGTGGACATTGACATATAAACATGGTTGTGGACTCCAACTGGACCCTTGAGGATGTAAAAGACTGTTTTTGTTGGACTCTGTCAATGACAATGGCTTTGACCTGGTGAGTTATTCATCACTTTGGACTCTTACAAAGCATTAACTGTGACTACAGTTACGGTCGAGTCTTTGATTGGCTGATGTAAGTGGAATCAGAAGAATTATGGCGGATAACGATGTAAAGGAAACTTTGGAGCCTCAAACAGGATGTGTGTGAACCACGTTGGTGAGAGCTGAAGCTGCAGGCAGGGAGATGAAGCTTTATCTTCAGTAACCCACTGTTAAAAGCCAAATGGCATTCAGTCTGGTGCTTCAGTTCTGCACAAAGTTAAGAGTAGAGGCGATTTAACGTTTTCCGCCAGACAACATTAAAACACGCGCTTTCACACACACCGGCGGTATCACATGAACAGATTGTTGCACTAAAGGCGCTGATGTGACCTGTGGGACTAAATCATAGGCACAACAAAAAATATCGCCCCCAAAATTACAATCTATGTCGGCGAACGTCTCGGCCCTTCGCCGACGGTCGATGAATTTGCCAAAAAGCCCGAGCTTAGTTGTAAGCAACAGATTTTACTGATGACCTCAGAGCCATTGTTGCTGCTCCCACCATGTCAAAGAGTCCCTCCTCCAGCTGCTCCTGAACCTCCTCCTTCTGAGCGTGCTCCTCCGCATCCTCCATCTCTGCTCGAGATGTACTCACCTGAAACCAAAACAAAAAGTCCCGCCTACTTAGCCTTCGTCAAAGTCATCATCATCATCATCATCATCAGAAAACAACAACAACCGATCAGCACTTACGTCCAGTTTGAGCAGCTTTCCTACAACCAGCTCCAGCACGTCTCTACGGATGGACGGCAGGTACACCGTCACCCGCAGGAGGTTGTGAACGTAGCACTCCTACCAGCAAAGAGTCAACGCACCTGTGGTTAAGCACCGCGAGGTTTTCACGTCGCACACCCACGACACGAAACACAAAGACTCACCAGAGTCCTGGAGGACTTCTGTACGAAGGGGAAGTTGTCTTGTAGGATGGGGACAAGAAAGCGGCTCGTCCTTTAACGAAACCAAAGGGACTCGTCTCAGAAGCAACACCGACTTCATCTGCACACCGTGGTTTACCAGAACTACCCTTCTACTACATCATAAACATCAGGGTTACATCACTAAACAGTCATTAGCTTAGGGTGACGGTGGCTCAGGGTGGAAAGTCTTCCTGTAACCGCTGGGTTGCAGGTTCAAAACCAGACTTGGTCTGTGACAGTCTGTCCTTGGGCACCCTTCTCCCTGCTGGAGCCTGTCACAGGGCAGCTGTGGCTACGACGTAGCTCATCACCACCAGGGTGGATGACTGCAGTAGAAGTGCTTTGGAGACCTTTTAGCTATGCAGGTGCGGGAATGCCGTTCCGTTTGTTTTCCATTGTCGTCCTTATTTATACCCGCTCACCTCACACCTGGGAAGACTACATGGTAATATCTACCTAGCCAGTGAAAGTCCGTCAGCAGAGGGACTCACTCACGCCACCTAGTGGAGCAGGAAGACAAGACGAGGGGAAACAGAGCGGAGCAACTTACGAGGGCACATATCTGACGATGAGCTGCAGCGCCTGGTGACTCCGGTCGAAGCTTCTGGGGAGGTCTTAAAAGCAGAAGAATGCGTTCAGTAATATTTAGTTACAAACGTCATTTCTGTTTCAAGATGTTTGTTGTGGAGTCTACCTGAGCTCTCTCACCTGTTCAGTAGCACTGCTGCTGCTACTTTACCAGTAGTCCTAATTCAGCTTCATGTGTTATGATGTAAAATAAGTGAAAAACTCAAGAACTCACCCTCATCTTCATCATCCGAATCAGAGATGTCCACTCCACCCTCGTGAATGGTCACTCTCTCTGAAATCAAACAACACCTCCTTCGTTCTCCGCGTGCAGCCCAACTTTCAAACGTGACGAAAGGCCCGAGTCTGACTCAGAGGAACCTACTGGGAGTGAAGAGGGAGACCGCCATTTTCAGGCAGGCACACAGGAAGACGGTCTGAGCGGACACCAGGTTACCCAGGAAGGCCAAGTACTCATCCACCACAGCCTGACAGCGGTCGGCCCACGGAACCCTCTGGAAGAGCGACACGAACGCCACGCCAAAATAATGACCACACATTTCTACAGCACCATCAGACACTCTACTCTGATTGGCTGGACCACAGCCGATCCAGTGCGTGTTTTCGTTTGTGCTAGTCAGGTAAACACCGTGGACGCAGCGCAGATGAGAGAAAAAAAAAAAAAAAACGATTGGCAATATTTTTACCAAGTGAAGTCCTAGGAGCCCACTCCCACAGCTCTGACACGCAACCATCAGCCTCCCAGGTGATGCAGCCCTGGTCTGCAGTGCAGAGCCTCGGAGCCAGCTGACCTTATGAGCAGGAAATGTGTGAACTAAAGGTCCCCTTTAACCCTAGCCCTGGAGCCAGAGGATGCTAAAATGACCCTTTACCGGGTGACTACAGTCTCATTGCAGCATTAACCTTTTAAAAAAAAATCTAAATATAACAAAAACTAAAAACTTTATGACATAACTGTTGATCTGTGTAGATCTAGAAGGGCCTACAGCATTTGGACATCTGAGGGGCACGTGGCTACTCGGCTGTTTTATATTGTTAGCTAATCCTTTACAAATCTACTTTACTTCTATGAAAGGCCATTTTTTGTTTGTGTGCGATTTAAAAACAATGAACCTGCAAATCTTTGATGTAAAATGGTCAAAAAGTTGGGTGCTCTTCAGAAACACCGTTAGCTGTACCAACGCAACCAGTGTGTGGGTTTCCCAGCCCCCCGGGGGCTGCTGACCCCAAGGAGAGCCCCTGTGTGTGTGTGTGTGTGTGTGGGGGGGGGGGGGGGGGGGGGGTCCTTGAACACAAGTAGCTGAGCTGACTTTCCTCTGCAGCCTTAAAGCCGGGCGTACACTGTGCGACTTTTTCACTCGCAGCGTTCAGCTTCAGCTCAAACTGTACGATTTCCTCGCAGAGCAGATCTCACGAGTCGTGTGCTCACACTGCACGACCCAGTTCTCGCATGCGACCTGACTGCTCACACTGTACGTCTGGTAGCAACACGTCGGCCCTAAAAATGTGCTAAAAATAGCAGTTTTTACTCAACACATCAGACTTTTTTGTCTTGTTTTGCCTGTTGTCCTTCGGGAGTGCTGCTGGAGGACACACAGGGATTTATGGGGGTTGGATGAGGAAAACGAAATAAAGAAAGTAAATCTGTGTTTTGTGATCAGTTTAATTTGACATGAACACGACAAACACGCTTTCTTGACAATCTTTGTGAGTAAAAAAACGTGTAGAAACAAAAATGAGCAGCGTGTGTTATTAGGGAAATAGCGGGCGACCGGCCGGCGTTGATGCAGGATTGCGCGCGCATGCGCCGTGAGCGGTTCTGATACTTTTTGGATAGTAGCTGCTCGCAGCCGCTCGCAGCGCCGCTTCAACAGTGCGATACCCTCACGAGGGACGAGCGAAATATTAAACACGCCAGAAGTCCCTGCGACCTCACGACTGCTGATCGGCGGCTGGTCACGTGGTGTTACTCGCCTCTCGTAACCCCCTGTACACTACACGACCGCTCGGCGCAAAACTCGCCCCGATCTTGTGGATTCTCGCACGACTGGAAAATCGGCTCAAAAAAGTGAAAAAGTCGCACAGTGTGCGCTGAGCGTCGTGTAGTGTACAGGGGGTTACGAGAGGCGAGTAACACCACGTGACCAGCTACCGATCAGCAGTCGTGAGCTCGCACAAACTTCTGGCGTGTTTAATATTTCGCTCGTTCCTCATGAGGATATCGCACTGTTGAAGCGGCGCTGCGAGCGGCTGCGACCCAAAAAGTATCAGAACCGCTCACGGCGCAATCCTGCATCAACACTGCTCGTCCGCTATTTCCCTAATAACACACGCTGCTCATTTTTGTTTCTACACGTTTTTTACTCACAAAGATTGTCAAGAAAGCGTGTTTGTCGTGTTCATGTCAAATTAAACTGATCACAAAACACAGATTTACTTTCTTTATTTCGTTTTCCTCATCCAACCCCCATAAATCCCTGTGTGTCCTCCTGCAGCACTCCCGAAGGACAACAGGCAAAACAAAACAAAAAAGTCTGACGTGTTGAGTAAAAACTGCTATTTTTAGCATATTTTTAGGTCCGACATGTTGCTACGAGACGTACAGTGTGAGCAGTCAGGTCGCATCCATGAACTGGGACGTGCAGTGTGAGCACCTGACTCGTGAGATCTGCCCTGCGAGGAAGTCATACAGTGTGAGCTGAAGCTGAGTGCTGCGAGTGAAAAAGTCACACAGTGTACGCCCGGCTTAGGAGGAAGGACTAGATCCACCTCCTCCTCCTCATGAATAGGAGCCAGCTGACATTGCAAACAGCTAACAATTGTTCCCTATAATTACAGAAATCACTGAACTAAGTTCTGTTTTCAATCAGATAATCTAAGGGAAATGAACCATCTAATCCGATCAAATGAAGGTTTGAGCTCTCCTCATCAGTGAAGCTGTCCTCTCACCAGAATCGTGTAAACCAGCTGCTCATGGTCCTTTGTCAACTGAGTCACACAGCTCCGAAACTCCTGCAGCCAGCTGATGAGCTGAGCATCCTGTCCAGAGAGACATGACCATTATTCGCACCTTCACACCGACCCAAGATCAGCCTCAGAGGTTTTACCTTGATTTCAGGATCCACCAGCTGATGCTTCAGCAGCTCGTAGTCATTTGTGTCCCCCTTCAAAAACAGACAAGCGCCTCATCAGGACACAGGGCTCTTAGAGGAAGGTGAAAGGAGCTGCTCCTGCTGCTAACAATCGTATCAAACTAAAGTAAAATGATTCTGCCACAGCACAACCACCCAGGATATTTCACCTTCCACCTGTATTTGAAACATTCATGTTTTTGGTTTAAAGTTAAAACTCATTCCTCGTCTTTTAACCCTCGAGGCACCTTGGGTCCCAATTAAACATGTTGCTTTTTTATCTTTAACATCTATCAGTTTAAACTTGGCCGAGATCATGTTAAGCCAGAGAAGTCTAGCTGTTGTCTTTACCATGCCCTGGACTGGACCAGCTACAGCACTCACGTGTCTGGCTTTCTCCAGAGTCTCCGCTACGCACCCCCCAAACCGGACCGTCTTGGCCGGAGGAGAGTTGAGGAAGTCCCTACCGTCTGCATCCATGGTTCCGGCCACGCGCTGGTTTCCACGAGCTAACGTGGCTATCATCAAACTAAACGTATACGTTAACGTATTCTCTCATTTCACCGGAATAAAGACGGGGTACAATATCAATACAAGACCCCAAAACACTAGTGAAAAGCAAAGGCAAGCTGCTGTGAGCGCAGGCGGAAGAAATCACGTGTATCCGGAACAGAGTGATGAGGTGTCACATTAAAACTCTTCCCGCGGTGCGCGAGACCCACTTTTTTTTTTTTTTACAGTAAACAGAAAAGCATTATTTTACGATAAATAACTGTGTTTCACCCTGAATGTAATATTAGCTAAATATAGTTTCTGTAAGAATTTACCACCTGTGTGCTACAAGATTGCTAATTCAAAATATATAATGTGTTCATCAGGGAAAACAAATGTTAAATTTAAGCACCTGAGAATTATTTTTTTCACAGTTCATCAATTTCTTTGAAGTGTTGAGCATAATTAACTAAAACTGTGGATTTTTTCACATAGCAAACTGTGATCATCACATCTACTGTGCCTCTGAAACTTTATATCTTTATTGTACTTTGTTTTGTTTCTCTACCAGACTAGTGTGTCATTTAGAAAAACATATTACCTCAAGCACATTTTAAGGGAAAAAAAAGTATTCTACTTTTTGCTAAAATAAATAGGTAAAAAGAAAAATAAACACTTCAGATCAATGTTGTTCTGCATCCTGGTGAAAAACCAGTGGTCTCTCTCAACTAAGTTCAAAGGTCACAACCTGATACCCATGTTGGGTGGGACTGGCTACACTCTTTTACAGGGCTTGACTGGGTTGATTTAACCCTCTAGAGGTCGGCGTTGCAGATGTGCAACGTTAAAACCTACCTACCTGGTTACCCCACACATGTATTTCATGAGCATGTTTTAACTCAGAACCCCTGAAGGACTTAGTTGTTCGTCCTTTTATCAAAACTTATTTTTGAGCCTGAGAGGGTAAATGCATCCGATTTTATTTTGCTGCTTTACGTCGTGATGAAATGAACGGATGAAATCCACAGGCTGCATCCCTTCAGACAAACTTTGGTGTACCTGTTTGGACTGAGAACGTCGGAAATAAAAAGAAACAGTAATCGAGTTAATCAGAAACTCCTTCAGTGACCACCGAGTCTCAGAGTCAATCTGTCTGCCAGCTGAAGCTTGAACTGAACCAGATCATCAAACAGATCCATGACCCAAACACAACAGCAGAACTACCAAGGAATCCAGGGGCGGAAGTGCTCTAGTCAGAGTCCAGGGGCCATGCCCCCCCCCCTTAACTCATTCATTGCCGGCCGTTTTCTGAATAGAAAAGCCCCGGACTGCCAGTGTTTTTGAGCATTTTACAGTTTTTTGCTGCGTCACAGAACATTGTGTTCTTGGATCACGTAAATGCCAAAACTACCAAAACAAATAATAGACTCACTTCTTACATCAGGAAGAATCAGCAAGTTTCTGGCTTTATCTGCTCTTTCATAATCCGTTGGTCAAATTGTGAGCTGCAGAAGCCTTTCCAGTTAACGCCTCGCTTTTTTACAGCAGCAGCCCTAAACGATCTCCTAACACATGGGTTTTCTGCTTCCTGATCACGTGACGTGTGACGTACACAGATGAAGATCAGCTTTAAGCCGTTTTTACAAAACAATGCCGTCAATTTGCCACAAGGCCGTGGCGTCAGCAGGGACTCTTAGAACGTTTATAAGTGGTCAGACCGTGGCGGTAATGTGATGCAATCGTGTCCTTTTTATAGAAAATCAGGTGACGGCGTCAAATTTTGCGCAATGCCACACCGGCATATGGCGCGTATTAAGAGACACTGCTGCGGTAATATTACGCCGATTTGCTGGCATGGTGCGTTGTGTAAAACGGGCTTTAGAGATGTGATGTTTATTGTCACGGTGCAGGGGCTCATTCGCACACCCGCCCTGTAAAAAGGGTGACTGGATTTAAAATGATGAGTTTTGTCGTCAATGGCAGTATATTATTAAATCAAATTAATCTTCTTTATTCAGAACATACATTTTAAATCCATGAATGTGTTTAGATAACATTTCCATAAACAATTTGTTTAAAGGTTGAATGTGGAACATGAACTCTGGCGAACACTCTGGTGTACTCTGGTGTTCACAGGTGGCATTGCAACAACAGGGCTAATTTTCCAGCAATCAGTTGGTTCACTGTTGACACGTTCCAGCACCATGTTCAGAGACAAATCATACAGGATAAGGACTACTTTCTAGTGATGTGAACAGATTTTCAAAGTGAATGATGAAAGCCGAGACCCCGTAGAGAGCCGTTCATCTTGTCTTCCGGTAACAAACCTCCCCCGAAGTCGGTTAACCACACCCGCTCAAACCCCACCCACCGCTGTGATGGACGTAGGAGGAACTCTAACTAACCACCACCCCCCCTCCCCGGCCAACCACCATGCAGTGAGTTACCTTATGTAGCCCATATGCACCGTGTTTGACAGATGATGGCCATCATCAGAGCGTTCGGGTGCTGCGTTATGCCCCTCTTTTGCTTTGTCATCATTTAATCCCAAATCTAAATAGACTCCTGTGTAGCGTAGACACTCTACATAACCAGGATTTAACGCTGTTTGCTATGCAGCTTTGTTAGATCCTGAGAAAGATCAAACAAATAAGCAAATGAAACTTATATCATGTATAGATATCCACGGATATCTATACAATCGATAGAAGTTCATACACCAACTGGCTTGGTCTATATTTAATCCAAAGATTAATATTTAATTTAAGAGATTTAATTAATAGCAAAAGTTTATTTATTAAATCAGAAGATTTAAAAGGAATCTTTGCTCGTTCAATAGCCAAATATACACCACTCTGTGTTTCATTTCAAAGAAGAGTCAGGTTTAAAAGTTAAGAATGCATTACTAACATTCTAAAGATGACAATTTAAAAGGCAATTCATAAATGACAATTTAAAAAAAGCTTTGATATTAAAACTTGGTATTAAAGCAACCCTGTGTCTGGATGAACTAAAATGAAATGTGTGGGTTCGGATGTGTGCATGGGTCTCAGAAGGTTTCTATCAGAGAGGGAAAATGCGTTCTGGGTGAAAGAGTTGGGTTGCAGCTGAACTAAGTTATTTCTTAAAGAAACAGGCATACGAACGCTATCTGTCGGAAGTGTCTACCTCACCCAGTTAGGAGACCCCCTTCTTGGATCCGAGATGTCAGGAGGAGATGATGACCTCGAAGCACGAGGTGGGTAGAAGAACCATGGTGCAACCAAATCGGTCCTGAGATGTCTCCGGGTCACAACGACTGATGAAACTGGTTGCGTCTCAAAAATCAATAACTCTGAAGGAGTTTTGCATCAGCTTGTTGCAGATGGCGTTTCTGTGAAGCAATTCTATCAGCGTGACAGAACAGCTTAGTGGAGGTTTCGAGCGGCCGACCCGATCCTCTGGGACTCTCGTCGCCACAGAGAGATTTTGGTGAGCTCAAGAACTGAACTTGAACTGAGTAGTTTTGGTTTTATTAAACCTCAGGACATGCCGTCTCAGAGATAGAAAGCTTTGGTTATGGAACAAAGACATGTGAGAGCAGTTACCTTTACCCTGATGTCCGTGTCCTGCATGGTGTGTATAAGCGCACATGACCTTCTTTATACTGTTAAAGATTACTGATTATCATAAATAATTATTATGAACCAAAGAATAATAATTCATTTCAGTAATAAATACATTTATAATGAACCATGATGATTATTTATGAACCTTGTAATAGACAGTGAAAAGAGTTTATTAAAAATTATTCTTTTAAATCTTGAAGTGCCCTTCGTCTTGGGACGGAATGGCAGTCAGATAAAGATGGTTTACAGCAGACTTTGTGTCTCCTGTGACGGATATTCTGTAAACAGAAGTACAGCCAGGACAGCTCGACCTAGCTGAGGAAGTGTGACCTTTGGGTCACAAATGAGGCCATTCATGTCGCTACACCTGTAATACTTTTGTGTTACTTATTACTTATAATTATTATTTAGGTTGCCAAGAAAACCTAGGATTATTATGAGGTAATTTGATGATTTTTTTTTCACACAAATGCTAGCTGTTACCATTCACTTAAATTGTTTATGCTAAGCTAAAACTAACAGAATGCTACCAGATTACGAGAATGACTGGGCTGGTTACAAAATGTTTTTTCCCCACTTATCAAACTCTGGGAAGTATGGCAAGACTGAATTTCACTTTGACGTGGAATTTCCCTTTAAGTTGTAGATATAAATGTATGAATCTGAACTTGTTTAAGCCAGCATAGAAGTGAAGACCGTGATGGAACTAGCGTACCCACGGATGTCAAATAAATCATATTAATGTTCACACAAACCTTAAATTAATCTTATTTAATCAGACAAATTAAAAACTCAACATCAAATATTAAATTACAATTGAAAAAGAACAAGTAGACACGGTTTTCCTGTGAACAAAACCTTTAAAACTCATTTATTTGGAAACTGACAACAAAGAATAAATTATCTTTAAAAACAGGTCCAATTAAGGCAGTAAAAATCACACTTAAAGGATTTTAAATAAATCCATCAAAACAAGACTGATGTAATAATTTCATCTGCCCAGGACATGAGGCCACCTGGACATTACAGAATTACTAAGAACCAAAGTCTGTGTTTCTAAATGTCAAAAATCATTATTTTAGATAAAACCAATAACTCTCCTTAACTGCAGATCATCATCTTTAACTCACCGGATCCAGTCAGAAGTTAAAGCGAACATTATTTATCTAAAAACATTCCTTTGCACTGCTATGTGGGTCTCTGCTGCCTTTATAAGCACACCAAACGGGGAACCAAACACCCGTCCATTTTCTGTTCAGGATTCATTTGCTTCTACCAGCCGTTTGAAAATGCCCCATATTGTGACATCACAACAAGAAAACTCAGCATAGAACCCACACCCCACCACCACCATCTGCTGGGGCTTAAGGAAACTTCAACTATGGAGATGGAGGGGCAGCAAATCTACTCCAAGCCCCTCCCAAATATCCAAGCTTCTCCCCTCATAGTAGCCATTCAGAGGGTGGGTGTGGCCAGCAACATCATTCTGGAAGGTACTGAAACTCAAGAATAAAACTGCTGAAATCACTTTCTGTGAGAGGGAATTAGTGCAAAGAACTTCGTATCACATAGGACTTATGCAACTCGTTTAAAATGAGATATTATGAGTTACAAACAGATACATTCTCAGGTCAGTGTGTCAAATTAAGCCTTTGTAGAGGTCGGTGAAAAATTTAGGATTTAAAGACGAGGCTGCTGGGTAAACGGAGATGGATCAGGACTGCCGGTGAGATCCGTCTCAGTCGAACGCCGACAGGAACCCAACTGTCTGAAGAAAAATAGGAATCAGCATCAGTCTGGTTTAATGGCAGCGTCAGAACAGCGAGCTGGTGTTTGGACAAGGGGCTGGTCCTCAGCTGTGGTTAATGATTATCACTGATAAGAAGTTTACTGCTGTACAGTTACAGGAAGCTCTCCTAGTTCTGCATTTAAACCACATCAGAAAAACAACCTAGCAACAGATATGTGAAGAATAAACCTCTGGTTTTAATAAACATTGCTTTTTGGAATGTGGTCACACTGATGCAGCTGTCCTCATCTTTTTATTCTGGACTTTATTTAAATATAATTGGAAAGCTAATGAACTTGCTCTGCAGCTAGCTGCCACAGGTCTGCAGGTTCATAAATAACTCAACAAAAGCTTCAGACACTGGTTTTATAAATGAGCTTATACAGAAGGACAGTGAAATCATTCATTTCTTGTGAGAAATCAACGTTGCTTTGTTGTAAAAAGAAAATAAAAAAAAACTCAGGTTTTAACTGTTCTGTTTCTCACAGAAGTGGGGGCTGATCCGGGATGTTTAGGAGTTACACTGAAGACACCACACGCAAGTTGTCCAGGACAGGACTGCTTTTCAGCTGCATCACTTCCACCATAACGCCATTTATGCTTTTTACTTTTCACCCCGAACCTCAGAAAACATTTTATGTTGAAATATAATGTTGATTTTATGACTCTAAATAAATGAAATCTATTAAAAGAGCCGGTTATGGCTGGTGGTCGTCAGTGATTAGAGCAGATCATATAGAGACAGACTTCTTAGGACACATAAATGGACATCAACTATTAAAATCTCATCAGTCGTCACACACGAGTGAAATTTGTTCCCCACAATATTACAAATAAATAAATATTAAATAAATCAAATGTTGATTTATTTTTAACAGATCTACCAGCTGAAAGCTAGGTCTTCAAGTCAGGTGAGTGCATTTAGCTCCACTATGACTGAGTGTTGTTTTTCACATGTCCTGTCCATATCTCCCTCCACCAGTCTCCCTGTCCTCCTCTGTCCACCTGTCCCCACCTGTTATGTAGATGAGGTCTCCATGGTGGTTGGGGGCATCTCTCCGACCCAGGTGACCTCTGGGCCTGCTGTGGAGTGGGCCGCCTTTTCCTTCGGGGTCACCGTTGCCATAGCAACAACTACCTGTTCAGTCCGCGGAGACACCTCTGGACCAGCTGCTGACCTCTGCGCCCGGCTGGTCCCGGTCCGGGGGGGTCCTCCGTTCCGGCGGAAGGAGCTGGCGATGCCGTTGGCCAGGCGGCCGGACAGGCGCCTGACTGCCCCGCCGATCCCGCTCAGACCGGGCCGGTTCTTCTTCAGCAGCCCTACGTCATCCTCCAGATCCGCCGGGGGGACCTCGATGTTCCCAGAGTACCAGAAGACCCACCAGATGAGACTGAGGAAGACCACGATGGCCCCCGCGTAGATGAGCAAGTCGTAGAAAAACACGTTCACAAAAACCCCGATGAGCAGCACGAGCAGCCCCACGATGTCAAAGGCCACCGCGAGCCAGAAGCAGCACGCGCAGCGGCCCAGGCCCCGGTACACCGGCTCCATGCTCTCAGCGGGACCGGCAAGGCTCCAGGGGAGACGGGAGCAGCGAGCTAGCCGCGAGGCTCACCTGAACCCGGGCGTGGCGCTCCAAGGAGGCGGGTCTGGAACAGGTGTTCCTGTTTCAGGTCCAGTTCACCTGCGGTGTGGAAAGCCAACAAGTCACAAAACAGGTGACTTTAAACGCGACTTGTTTAGGTTTTATTCTCCCATAAGAATAAACCGTGTTCAGACAAGCCTGTCATTCTCTTCACCGGAAAACAGTCTTGTTTAACCTGAGAGGAGCTTTAAAGGATGTTATTCCTTAAATGTGCTGGATGAAAATAATCTTCACTAATAACATATAAATGTCATGAATGCTACAGAAGGTCCTTATCATCTACCGATGAGTCCTGATGTCAGGGTCCTGCTGTGACCCGCTTTAGTCTGGGAAAAGAAGATAAAGTACAGAGTAGCCTAAACTAACTGGTCTGATCAAAATCAATGAAATATTCAACAAAACAAAGAACGACCTGGAAAAAGGTGTCACAATAAAAAAAGAGGGGGTTGGAAGTTCAAACATTTTAAGGAGGACCTTCACTGGAAATAAGTCAGAAATTATACAAAAGGGTAAACGAGCTAAATCGTATTGTAGATTATAGTATTCTTCAGGTTTTATGGAAAGCCAACAGTAAACTAAACATCCAGAGCGAGAAAGTGACTCTAATCACACCCAGATTCAGAACCAACGTGATGGACCGGACCGTCTCAGTGAGACGGGTCAAAGAGCATTAAGGCTTTGAAGAAACACATCAAACTACTTTACACACACACACACACACACACACACACACACACACACACACACACACACACACACACACACACACACACACACACACACACACGATATTAACAAACAGCAAAACAAAGCTGCACCAAAGGTTAAAGGTCAGACCGAGACAAACATGAATAAAATCAAGAGCATGAATCAGGTAGATAAAGAATTACAATCAGTGGGTTTGTGTTCAAAGATAACAGCAGGTGATTAACAGGCCGGAAAGCCCGGTGAGCCACTGAATCAGGCGTGTTGGAGCAGGGAGACAACTAAAATGTGCTGGATGATGACCCTCTAGGAGCTTGGTCTGGATTAACAGCTGATACCGGTTAGCATGTGGTTTTCCTTGTGTGGTGCATCTCCACCATTGTTTTCTTATTTTAACAATAATTAGACGAGCATATAGAAAATAAATATTAAAGTTTGACTTTACACACACCTGCTGGCGACAAAAAAGTGCTGGAGAGACGAAGACAAAGGCTCTGGAAGGCTGAGACCCTTGTGGTGGTTTTTGCTCCATCCTAACAAAAATGAGAGCATCCTGCTTATTGGGCACGGTCTCCTGTTCAGGACTTGAACTGAGTCCAGTTGGATTCCCGTAAACAGGACAGCTACAGCAGCGTCTTCACAAACGGCAAACGTGTTTGGAAATCCAATCATTCCAGACATGAACACCAGGCATCCTTTTTGGATGTGAGCACAGGAGTTTTGCTGAGTGCCTCCACACACTGAAGAGTGGAGCCTACATGGATGTGTGTGTGTGTGTGTGTGTGTGATAGATCTGAGGGAAGGACCCAAACAACGCTCCACACAGACTGGCCTAGAAGTCCAGTTTAGAATAGAACAGTAGGAGTTAGATGGCCACAAGGAGAGATCTTCTGCATCTCTGGTTGGTCTCTACTGCCATAAAGCCATCTCATCTGCTTGCTGTCAGTGTTTGTTTCAGGAATAATTTGCTGAAATAAATTTAAAAAAGCAATCAAGTGACAGTGCCTCTGCTCAGAAAAATAAAATAAACCAACAGAATTGTTAGGAATCTTATATTTGTCATCCATCCATTTTCTTTACCCGCTTATCCACGCAGGGTCGGGGGGGGGGGGGGCATCTCCAGCAGCAAACAGGGTGCACCCTGGTCAGGTTGCCAGTCCATCACAGGACAATCAACCTGAGAGGTTCCTTGGAGGAACCCGGAGAACCCACGCGTGCACAGGGAGAACGTGCAACCTCCACGCAGAAAGACCCCAGGTTGGGATTTGAACCCTGCAAGGCAACATCCCAAACCACTGCACCACTGTGCAGCCCTTGTGAATCATCATGAGACAGAATTTACTCAGAATCATGAAATATTCCACACTGTGATAATCCATGAGGGTTTTCTGATTATAATCAGTCACTCTGAGATGGACATGACGTGATTTTGAGGAATGGCCTGGATGAAGAAAATAAGCAAAGTAAACATGTTGCACACTTTAAAAGAAAACTTGTGTACAAAATAAATGAGCAAACAAGAAAAAAAAAACTAAGCAAGATCAGGGTGTGTGTGAAATTTGAGTTTTTCCGTTTTGTTAGCAGGATAAATGAGCTGCGTTTACCTTGTAATGTGAAATGAGAGACTGGGACAGGACCAGATGAGCTGCTGCTTCTTCCTGATGCCATTTCAAATGCATTTGCTTTGGATTGTAAAGTTATTTGGTGAGATGGTTAAACTTGTTCTTTTTTCTTCATTTCATTCCTTGATTGTTGGGATGATTTTAGGTGCTCATAATGTAACAGAAAATAGTCTCCTACACCTGCATCAGCTTCGAATAGAAAACAGACGGTGAAACGCTAAGATTAGAAAATCCTGACAGATCCACGTCACGCTGTCCCTGCCCTAGAAGGTGCTAGGGGCTGCAGGACTTCATTGTTTTCAAAGTTGACGTCCAACAATGAAAATCTCGACTTTGACTAGTCGTTGATGATGTCATTCACCTGAAGCAGCTAAAACTGACGAGTTACCAAGCGTTTTCCCGACGCACATCGAAGCGACGCTCTGGCACAGCACGTCGCTTTTTGACGCCCACGGTTTAACGGAGATTTCACCGAATTGTGACCTTTACCCTCTTGCTATTTAACCGTCTGTTTCACCCCCCCCCCCCCCAACTTTTACCCATTATGTCAGTCGAGCGTGTTTGAGAATGATGAAACACAAAGCAAAGCTTTGCATGTGCAAGCTGGTTAAGGTTAGGATGGGGGTGAGGGGAAGGTTAAATGGCAAAAGGGTAAAGGTCACAATTCGGTCAAATGTCAGTTTTACCGCCGGCAGCAGACAACGTGCCCCCGACGCGCAGGGGCTCGTTACCTGCTCTTTCCCAGGACTCCATCTTGTCGGTCATTATCACGCGACAGCGACTAGTCGTCACTACAGAGCAGTCAAGTCGACTAGTTGATACAACCCCTTGTAATTCGAGTAAAACGCAAAAAAAAGCACTTTTGACACAAATGTCTCGCTGTACTGTTAAAACTTTGTTAAGAGGCATGAAAAACATTTTAAGCTCATTTGTTTTACAGATTTGCGTTTGCAGCTTTAAACTGAAGAAAGAACACAACTTTAAGGTCGAACGGAGATGAACTTGCTACAGTCCTGGACAGGCGGTTTGATCCGACGAGCTGGAACCGCTGAAGCAACAGTGGCCGTACGCCTCGCGTACCCTCCCTCCCAGAGAACTCCTCCATGCCATCCACACATTTCACATGAATCTCATATTTGACTTCTTAACAGGTGTTTTAGCTGAAAAGTGAGAAGTCTGCAGGTATGCGACAGAGCCCTAAAACGGGTCATTCTGGAAAGTACCGACACTCCAGAATAAAACCGCTCCAACTGCTTTCTGTGAGAGGGATTTAATGTAAATGGTTGTTTTGTGTTTCCACAGAACTAGTATAACTTTAAAACCTGTACTTAAAGGAGACCCAGCAGATTAACCTGAACACAAAGCACGCTGCTTGCTCTGATAAACACACATTTGTCCAATTTATATTTTTATTGTAATAGTTGTTTGCTTTGATAACATTTGCGCGGGTTCAAGCGCGCTGCCAGAACGCCACATGAGAAACCAAGAAGTGGGTAAAAGCAAAGGGAAACATGTATAATCAAGATTAATGGTTGGGTTCTTTCAGATCAATCAGCAAGTCACACGTGAAAGTGTGGTTTTACTCCAAGCCAAGTCCTGGTCCGTGTGTGTGTACAGATAAAACATCTGGCCTTTCTGCGTCGTTAACGACGGCAAGAAAAAGTAAAAATGTGAAAGAGAACAAAACAGGCTATGATCAGACGGAGTGGGCCTTAGGGTGGTGGGCTGACCCAGAATGGCATAACAGAGCTCTCAATATGAGAAAGCGGACTCCTGTGGACCCATATTCGTCTTTTGTTTAAAAACAGGTTTCTTGTATCGTGAGTTGATTATTCCAAAGATCATCTTCGACACGCAGAGGAAGGGCGTGGCGGGGAGAAGAGATCAGCGCTGATGACCGTGGACTGCCCGTTCCTTCTCACAGAGACTCAAACGGATCCGTTTCCTCTAGTCCCGCTCGGCAACCAGCTTCAGAACCTTCCCGATGGCGATGGTCTTACCTGAAGCACAAACACCACTGTGAGCTCACCTGTTACATGTTTGTTTACTAAACTCTACAGGTTTACTGTGGTACTCCAAAACAACAGAATTTGTCAGCTGGTGGTCCAAACTTCACAGAAACAACCTGAAATCCAAGTCCAGCAGCAAACATCATAAGATGTCTCTGCAACGACGTCGGTGTAAGGCTGAGCGTACACTCGCTTTACAGTGATCCCTCGTTTATCTCGGTAGATGCGTTCCAGACCTGGCCGCGATAGGTGAGAATCCGCGAAGTAGGGTCAGAACCCAAGTTCCCAGGCCAGCCTCTTCCAGCTAGCCGGCCTCCACTATGGACCACAACTCCCAGCATGCCCCTCGCGGGGATTCCCTCCACGTCGCACCTACATCACAAACCGCGGCTATAAACGGAAGTCGCCTTTCCAGCTCACCACTCAGTCATCGTTTCTTCAGATTCATGATCAGAGTTTCCAACCTACCGATCCATCCCACGAACTATCAGCTCATAGTATGTTATCTTCATTTCCGTGTCACTTCGTTGACGCTCGAACGCTCGGGGGTTTCCTAGATTAAATGGTGAGCCGGCGTTTCACCGACGCTCTCACTTCCTCACTGTGAAACCACGCTCCCTACAAGCTTAACTCCCGAATCCAGCCGACCAGTCTGACATACAGTACTATACTGAATCATCGTATGATCACATTCTCTTTTTGTGCTTAAAACTCAAGAAAAAAAATTTTTTTTTTACTTGTTTTTTTTATAGTTTTATTACAAAAAGTGCATTTTATGATGAAATTGATGAAAAAAAAACCCAGGAATTTCTTCATATTTCGCATAGAAAAATACCGCGAATCGGTGAAAAAAACTGCGAATCGGCGAATTTCCCTTGAATAAGGCTCCAAAGAAAAAATCCGCGATAAACGAACCGCGAAGTAGCGAGGGATCACTGTATTCATGTTTATCATTACTGCGTGTTAACTTGCGTTTGACATCTGCTCTGTTGAACGTTTCCCTTCGCCTAACGTGTCTTTCAGCGTCAGCTGGCTGTTAGCGTCCGAGTTTCTGCGGTGACCCGAGGTAGCCGTTCGTTAGCCGATTACAACTAAATGCAGATGGGCGGGTTGCTGTGGCGTCGCCTGAAGGGAAAAGCTAAAAGAGATGTTTGTTTTTAAGGCGACGTACCAGATTCCTGGTGTTGCACGCTGCTGTCTTCACCACCGTGTGAAATACACCACTTGAAACTTTAAAAGTGGACGTTGCTTTGTCGTCCCTGTCCAGTTTTAAATACGTCCAAACTCAAGACATCACACTTTAGCTCTGCATTAGCCTGCTGGCTAACAGCTGCATGTTAAGGTGTCTGAATTCCCTGCCTGCGGGAAATTGTGGCATTGTGTTTAATTTATGCAACAATGAAAACTGATGTAGTGGCACTAATAAAATAAAATTAAAGGTGCACTTGACGTCCTCTGAGAAAGTAATTTAAGCTACATTTATGTGAGGGGGGCAATCGAAAGGTCCGACCAATTTCTTCAGGCTCCAAATCTGATGTAGGAGCTTTGAATGCTTCCCTCCCAGGGCCTTCCTAAGGGGCCTTACCTTCATCCCGTAAGGTAAATCGTCCCATCTGTGGAAAATCTTTAAAGGTCTCAAGGCAAATAGTTCCTGCTGTGCGCAGACGGGCAATGCAGACCTGGTCCTGTTTCACAAATCGAGGTCGCGTCTTACTCTTTTCTCCTGTCTTCTTGTCTACCAGACAAATTAAGGCCTGCAACAGGGCAACGATGGACAAATGAAACAAATGCATTTGCGAGGAAGGTTCTGCCATACGTCCCAGAGCTGAAGCATGTGCAGAATGAGCAGCAGAGCTTACCGTAATTTGCACTTCTTCAATACAGGTGTGAATGTGAAGGACTGCATTGTAACCCGGACAGATGATAGATTTGTGCTCAATGATGACGATCTGTGGAGAAAACACAACGGAGGGAGGGAAAACGTGTCCCCGTCTCAGTCCTGCTTCGTCTTTCTACTTCACACACATCACCAGTTAACTCTGAGCTGACCGCCGGTGTGGGAGCTGCTCTCTGAACTGACCTGAGCGTCAAACGTACGTCCTGAATGACAAAGATTCTCAGCGTTGCACAGGATGAACCCAGGCAAGATCTCCTCTTCCTCGATGCCCTTTAGCCGGAGCTTGAGGTTCTCACCAGGTCCGGCATCATCCGTCTCCACGTCGTCTGACAGAAGACTCAGCACCTCCACCACATGCTGCAAGGCAAGAAAATGAGACGATGCCATTAAAATGTGGTACGTGGGTCTTTACAAACCACAGAGACATCTCCCAGACGTTCCTCGTGTTTTTATTAACATGCTAGTTTGTGTGTCTGTGCACGGATTATATGATTATATTGTAAAAGGTGTGACGGTTTCCCCAAGTCCCTTTTCATCAGGGCTGTGCTAACAGAGCTAGGGCTGAAACTTGCAAGGAGCACAACAACGGTGGCACGTACATTTAGGAAGCTACTTGGGATGTTTGAGTGGAGGTGGGGGTCTATGCTCCCCCTCCTCTGAGCGCCCTGACAGTTGCTGTGGAAGACCCGATGCTGGCAGACGGCTCCTCTGATGGTGTTTCCTTGCCTTACCTTACTTGGGTCATCTGGACTCAGCCGAATATAAATCTTTACTGATGTGTGTGTGTGTGTGTTAATGTTTTTAAACTTATGGGAATTTGGGGTCATTTTGTAAAGCGCTTTCCTTGAAAAGCCGTCATCGTCGTCTTCCTCCCCTTATCCGGGTCTAGGTCGCGGGGGCAGCATCCCAACTAGGGAGCTCCAGACCGTCCTCTCCCCGGCCTTGTCCACCAGCTCCTCTGGCAGGACCCCAAGGCGTTCCCGGAGCAGATAGGAGATGTAACCTCTCCAACGTGTCCTGGGTCGACCCGGGGGCCTCCTGCCGGCAGGACATGCCCGAAACACCTCCCCAGGGAGGCGTGCAGGAGGCATCCTGACCAGATGCCCAAACCACCTCAACTAGCTCCTTTCGATCCGGAGGAGCAGCGGTTCTACTCCGAGTCCCTCCCGAATGTCCGAGCTCCTCACCCTCTCTCTAACCCCGGGTTTCCACGGGAGCCGTCAGCAGCACGTCTTGCTCGCGTAAGCTGCTGCTTGGCCCTTCCCACGAGACGCGAAGCAGCAGGGGAGCAGCTGTCACCGACAGAGCACGAAGTCACACGAGTGACGTCGTCGGTAAACACAACAACAAGCAGGAGAAAACTACAACATGGTTTGTGTTTTATGTTCTGTCCGTTTTATAATCGCCAATACGGACCTGAAAAACAAAGGAGGCCGCTAGCTAGGTGATAACTTCTCACGGGGACGCACAGTTAGTAACCTTTTTTAAAAGTAAAGCAACCGGAAGGCAGTACGTTCTTTATTCTGAAAATCTCGGTAGATTCTCTCCATTTCCGCATCCGATTTCCTGTCTTTCCTTCCCCAAAAATGTCGAACTTGACCCGTTTCAGAGGCGTAGCGCATAGAAAATAGAACCGGCGCGTAAAGGCCGCTCCTGAGACGCGGCCGACTCGCGCTGCTGACGGCTCCAGTGGAAAAGGTTCTGTTGACCACAGCGGTTCCTATCAGCAGCTATGACGTGCTGCTGCAGTAACGTGCTGCTGACGGCTCTCGTGGAAACCCGGGGTAAGGCTGAGCCCGGCCACCCTACGGAGGAAACTCATTTCGGCCGCTTGTATCCGCGATCTCGTTCTTTTGGTACCCAAAGCTCACGACCATAGGTGAGGATTGGGACGTAGATCGACTGGTAAACCGAGAGCCTGGCTTTCTGGCTCAGCTCCCTCTTCACCACGACAGATCGGCTCAGCGTCCGCATCACTGCAGACGCCGAACCAATCCGCCTGTCGATCTCCCGATCCCTCCTACCCTCACTCGTGAACAAGACCCCGAGATACTTAAACTCCTCCACTTGAGGTAGGACCTCTCCCCCGACCCGGAGTTGGCAAGCCACCCTTTTCCGGTCGAGAACCATGTTCTCAGATTTGGAGGTGCTAATCCTCATCCCAGCCGCTTCACACTCGGCTGCTAACCTACCCAGCAAGAGCTGAAGGTCAGAGCTGGATGAAGCTAGGAGGACCACATCATCCGCAAAAAGCAGAGATGAGATTCTCCTGCCACCAAACTCGACACACTCCACACCACGGCTGCGTCTAGAAATTCTGTCCATAAAGGTAATGAACAGAACCGGTGACAAAGGGCAGCCCTGGCGGAGTCCAACCCTCACCGGGAACAGGTCCGACTTACTACCGGCTATGCCAGGGGTCGGCAACCTTTCCCCATCAAAGAGCCATTATTACCCGTTTCCCACAGTAAAGAAAACACTGGGAGCAGCAGCAGCCGCAGCGTTGTGGGCGGGGCCTACCCTCTGACAGCAGAGAGCTGCTTTAACCGATCACAACAGGTGACAGCAACCAATACCAGTCGCTCTTGAACCTCAAAGTTATCTTTCAACAGAAGACAATTAATAAAACAGTTTGTTTAACATTGATCCAAAAGTTGTAGCCCGTCTGTGCTACAATATTTAGATTTTTTTTTCACCCTGCTAGATGTTTTATTAGTTGAGCAGGTGACACTTTTTGAGGCATCACACATAACTGTTCAGAATACAAATCCAGGCTCTGTCTCGTTGGACTGTTGTAATTCAACTTTGTACTGAACTAAACTTTGCATTAAACATTGTTGAAAAGGTAAGAGAAGGCAATGAGTTTTTTTTCCTCGTTTACACTGACGGAGATTACGGCGCAGTGTGCGTGGCTCTGGTGTTCATCAGGTTTAATGTTTCTGTTTGCAACAATCTTCACTAGAAGGTAAGACGGTTAAATGACAGGGTTCGCACTGACCCGATGTTTCCAGTATTTATTTTGACGGAGAAATCTCAAGCCTGCAGATGCGCCGACATTTTAACGCACATCGTGGAGGTAGCTACATCAATCAGGAAAAGATTCCCATCAGAACATCTGAGATGGACGCTGAGCTCAGCGGTGGACAGCGAGCTGAAGATAGATCGGGGGCTTGGAGCGCATCACAGAACCAGAACCATGTAGGAAGATTCTGTGTTTTCTAAACCCGGTCTCTCAGAGACTTGTCACTTAAAAAATGTTCCCCGATTATGAATCTTTGGCAGAATAGCGTTTGTTCCTGTCTCCAACACTGCGACGCATCCATGAGCCTGTCTGAGGAACAGTCCAGAACCTCATATCCTCTTCAGCTCAGAAAGCTCCTATAGAGACATTTGATTACGCACAAGCAGATGACCTGTTCACGTTTATGCAGACAATCTTTAAATTTAGAATTGGCTACAGATGAAAACATGAATAAAATACATTGTAATTAAAGAGCAAGTCAACCCCTACCAGATTCTAACTCCACTCCCACTTCATGTTTGAAAAATGCAACAAATGCTGTTGCCTGGCAGACCGAGGGGGCGGAGCTGCTAACAAATACACACACACACAGGCATTGTGACATCATAATCTACCAGTTTACATCATAGCATACCTCTTAGCCAATAGCGGTGGCAGATTTAAATTAGAATACAATGCAGAGTTTTTACCTGACAACGGCACAACACTGCCAGTTTTAGGCAGAATATTTAAATTTTAACTAAGATGCACCGAAGTGCCAAATTATTGATGGCACGTGTCTGCAGCACGATTAGACACTCGTTTCTTTAGTTTATCAGCAAAAAAAAGGTTATTTGGGGTGACTTGCTCTTTAAATATTCCTTAATTAGTTTACAAGCAGAGTCTAGGGAGCCGCATCAGATGGATGAAAGAGCCGCGGGTTGCCGACCCCTGGGCTATGCGGACCAAACTCACGCTCCTTGAAAAGCGCTTTATAAATAAAATCTGATTGATGACGGTGTTTAAAACCGGCGTTTGTTTGAGGAATTACATAATTTAATGGCCATCAGTTGATTAATGTAGTTGTTGAACTCGGGTCTTAAGAGACGCTGAGTACACCAAGTTGTCTATGATGCTTGTCGGAATGCCCTCCTCCTCCTCCAACCCCAACACATTGACTCCTTCCTGCTCTCCAATCCTCGACTCGTACAGCTGCCCGTGGGACAACACCCGCCGCGGCAAGAACATTCCGAGCTTGTCGAAGGTCTGGCCCTGGGACTTGTTAATGGTCATGGCAAAGGCAGGCTTGATGGGGAACTGGCGCCTGGTAAAGGGAAACTGATTGAGGGCATGATGGGGATCCTGGGGATGAGAACCTGTCTGCCTGTGTGGGAGTCTGTGATGACCTCAGCCTGGATGACATGGCGCTGGAATGTTTTGATGATGAGCCTGGTGCCATTAGCCAGCCCGTATGATGGGTTGAGGTTACGCATGAGCCTGATGGGCATGGCCACCTTCAGGGACAGGCGATGCGGTGGCATGCCTTGTGGCTGCAGAGAGTAGAGGAACTCCTCATGATGTGCCACAGCGTCGGCCTCCAAACCGGTAAAAGCTGCCGTCTCCCCGAAGGAGCGTCTGAGACAGGGCTGGGACAACCGCACTGGACTCGGACGGACAGACGCACACACACGTCTGTACTTACTGAGGTTCTGCTTTTCTTCTGTGCAGAAGGGACGTTTTCCGTTGCCGACGGCTCACGGAACCGCTCAGAATCCCGTTGCAGCACTGCTACGGTTTTAAAAAGGTACTCCAAGGAAGTTCAAATTTGCCTACCGCTACTTCTGCCTTTGATTTTGTTGTTTCGTACTTTGAACATTGGCGCTAAACTAAAGGCTTGTTAGCTAAAAAGTTAGCTTAACGATTGAGTTTACAGATCTGTTACTGGAACGCGTGCTTTGTAAATAAGACAGGCTCAAATTAAGCTGTGGCGCTAACGTCAGTTAACCTCATTTGAATGCGGTGGAACGACCTGCTGCGCCTCCGCGCTGTGAACCTGTTCCCGGTTTCAAAGACGACCACGCAAGCTACGCTACTTACGAAGCTAACAGCCCAGACGAAGCCATTCGAGATCTGCGGGAATGCGTCAACGCTACAGCTCTACGGGACCAGCTGGACGGAACATCACCATGGGTGTTGTGTACAGGCGTGTACAGTGCTCCAGGGTGTGGTCAGACGTCTGTATATTACGTTATCAGCCACTCAGAAAAAGTCTTGAGTTTGTTTATGCTGATGGCAGAGCCGTTTATGGGATGGCTTACCCTGTTGGGCATCATGACGAGCTGCTGGGCTTTACTGATGGAGCCGGACTCAAGCTTCCCAAGGATAACAGTCCCCATGTCCTGAGGAGACAGGCAGATGTGTGAGGGAGACAGGTTTATGAGTACCACAGGTGTTTATTGCTTTCTAACTCAGCTGATCACCAAACCCAAACCATTTATTAATTTACTGCTAACACCTAAAAACTAAAAGCAACCTCAACTTAAGCTTTGATGGAAAATGAGGTGATGAGATTAAGACACATGAGATTTGTTATTGAGACTTAAAGCATCACATTAATAAGAGCAACCCCTTTGAAATCAGCCCTTTGTGAGGTTTAACACATTCCTACCTTGTACTTGTCTACAATGGGCAACCTGACAGGACCGTCGCTGGGTCTATTGAAGTTTGGCAAACTGTCCAGGTGAGGAATGAATGGCAGGCCTCTAGAAGATTAAAACAGCACATATCGGTGATGATGGACATAGGAGATACTGGAAGGTGTGTGGTCACTGCATTGAAGCACACTTACGTGTACCAAGGGCACATGTCCGTGGGCTCCTTCAGGTTAGCCCCCGTCAGCCCAGAACAGGGCATGAAGTGAATGTCTTTCTTTGGGTTGAAGCCGACCTTCTTCAGAAAGGGCACTAGCTTCTCTTTACACTCCTCATACCTGTTCAGACAGGAGGCACACCCAAACTTACACTGCTGGATAGTAGGGCTGGGGGTAAACGATTATTTTTAAAATGATTATTCTGACGATTATTTTATCGAATAGTCGACTATTCTAATTACTATTTAGACGATTAATCTAATGATTATTTTTCTATTGCACAGTTAATAAAAACCAAAAAATCTCTAATAAATTCCTCCAAAAAATTGATAAACTGTTGCTTTAAGAGAATAAACACTACAGGCCTTCCATTTTGTATAACACTGCTTTTATTGTGTTGGTTGGTTACATTCTGGTGACGTGTAGAACTTGGGAGTGCAGGCTGCTGCCTGAGAGGTGGTTGAAGATGGAGTGTCTGCTTTGTTTTGGTCACTTATGAGCATGAGGCGAGTGGTGTTACGACTCTTCCTGGGGAGTTTGGCACAATAACGGGATTTAAAAGTTAAAATGATGATCAGGTTTATTTACAACTACAAAAAAACATAAATCTTTCCATCCACAGGTTGGGAATAATAACACTAATTCTGCCTGTGGGGAATTAAAACAAAAGCACAAATAACTAGGGATGTCCCACTGGGCAAAGATTACTGGGTTCTGGACCAAAATAAGGATCTCCAAAGGTCCAAACTCTAAACTGGGTGGTTAAACCAAACTCAAGGTGATATTTTAAACTAAACCAAAAACCCACAACACTTTAAATGTAATAAAAGGGAGATGGCTAAGGGAAGCTTCAGGGAAACTGTGGCTGCATTGTAGCTCATCACCACCAGTGTGTCAATGATTTTGTGTTGTGTTGTAAAGCATCTTTGGGGGTTGCAGGGCACTCATTCATCAAACGTTTGTAGAAAAATTCCTGAATTCGTTTTTTAACTTGGAGGCAGAGAACACCATGATGGAAATGATGACTGTACCGCGTGACGCTTACGTTTATTAGCTGTAGCCAAAGATGGCATCTGGTGAGGGTGCAAACAGCTTTCTTTAGAAGAAAGGCTTCTTCCTAATGTGGTTTTAAAGACAGAACATTTAGAACAGAAGAAGGAGCTACAGCGAGCTTCACTTCAGATGCCGTTTTGTTTATGAGATACTGAGCCTTGTGGTGTGTGACGTACGCTGCTCAGCGCTGATTGGTTCGGTTAGAATTCTCAAGGGGTGGAGTTAGAGCGTTACCAGGCCCCTTTGCTTCCCATAAGGAAACATTGGCACAGCTGGCCAGGCTAGGCCTGAGGACGATAACCTGACCTGACAGACTAGTACTCTGTTTAATTCTGCACAGAGAAAGGGTCTGGGAACTCTCCTACTCAAATAACCCCGCCCCCTGAGAATTCTAAATGAACCAATCAGCGCTGAGTAGCGTGCGTCACACACCACAAGGCCGAGTTTGTTATAAACATTATGACTGAAGTGGAGCTCGCTGCGGTTCTTTCCTCTGTTCTAAAGGACTTGGACATGTCTTTAAACCCACAAGTAGAAGCACTAAAAGCCTTTCTTCTAAAGAAAGATGCTTGTGCTGTCGCCAGGCGCCATTTTTTACTACAGCTAACAAAGTACAGTGTCACGCGGTACAGTCGACATTTCTGTCTTTCTTTCCGATTGGTTATCTTTGAGCTACCTAGTCCCGCCCCTCAAGTGCTTCTCTGTCTGTGAGTTACCAGACTCTCTCTCTCTTTGCAGAATTACACAGAGGACGAGTCTGGCAGGCCAGGCTATGAGGACGATACGTTGTCCAACAAATTATTGATGATAAACAATCTTATTGTTGACAATACTGAGACCAGGTGAAGGTTCTCAGTCATCCAGGTCATGGTAATTTAAAGGGTTCAAATGAAGGCAACTGGACTTCCACATTTGACATGGATAGCTTCCTTCACTCCTCTTTAAACCATCTATCTTCTCTGTCCAGAATGTGTACTTTTGGGACACACTTTTGAAAATGACTAAGTCCACACCATGATCAGCAGCTCGTTATCAGCGCTCAGAGGAGCTGTGGAGAGCAGCGTTGTCTGCAGGTCACAGCCCAGCAGCAGAACCAGAACACAGCAGGTAAAAGGTTCCTACTTAAGTTAAATAGATTAACTGTAACATTAATATGTTGCTGGTCAGCTTGTTTAGACTGAATATTAATGAAAAATGAATCAAGATGTAATTGTGAATAAAATGACGGGAGGAAACGATCATGACCGTTTTTAACTCTGTCGGTCAAACTGAAAACAAACATGTCTACCCTGACCTCTGCTGTAGGTCATGTTCCTGTACCTGTTGTAACGTATACTGATGAGAACTTGTTTATTTATGGCCCATCCAGAAATAAAACCTGGAGCAGCACCTGTGTTAGTGGAGTCATGATTCTGGACGACTACGCTTTACTTTTACTCGATCATAAACATGAGGATGTAGAGCTACGCTAACTCAGGGGATTTATTTTCAGCAGTAATGAAACGTCTGAGCTCCGCTTGTTTCCTTTGAGGTCGTAGGGATCTCGATGTCGACTGTAGAGTTCCTGAAAACACAGATCTCTGTCCTCCTTCAGAAGTTTATCCCTGTAGGGCAGGGGTGTCAAACTCAAACTCACAAGGGGCCGAAATGAAACTCTGGGACAGAGTCGAGGGCCAAACTTAATATTTTAGAAAAAGTGACGGCAAATTAGCACATTTTCTTTATCAACATTTATGCAATTTTGAACCTTTAAATTTGGAAACAAACATATTTCTGCATTAACACTGAATGTGGAATAACCAAATTACAACGAGCAAGCCAGTTTAAATAAAAGGCATCAGTGGTATTCATTACTTGTGGTATATTCAGCATTTTTAAAATCTATTCAGGATTTATGTTTTATTGTTTATTCATTTTTCTTATTTTTTATTCTCCTTTTTTCTCCTGTAATACGTGTCATCGCTGCTGTGACGTCTAGCTTTCCCCACTGAGCAACAATAAAGGGATTTTCTATTCTATTCATCTGTCTGCAGCCTTTCCACTTCCTGTTTACTGTAGGTTAAATCTTTTCTCACGGGCCAACAACAAAATAAAAATATCATTTTATCTTAAATGAAAATGCAACATCTCACCTGTTAACTTTCATGTTAGAATTTCAAATAGTTTTCCTCTCCACTGTCGCTGCATGCTTGCTTAGTATGAGGATTGCTGTAAAGACTCTGACACTAGTCAGTGACTCGATGCAACCTGCTGGGTTCCTTATATAGGAAACTTGTTTTCTGATTGGCTTAACGAACTGACCTGTGTTGGGATGTTTACTATGTGAAGTGCCTTGAGACGACTCTTGTTGTGATATGGCGCTATATAAATAAACTTGAATTGAAATGACACGAGTCATACAACTAAAATGGCACTAAGGGGATGTGGTTGATGCAGATCATGAGTCTGACAAGGACTGATATAAAAATTAGTTCATTTAGTTAACATGTTAGCCAACACTAGCTATTTTAGCTGCTGTGTGTTCGGTCTCTAAGCTCCATAACTTTATCGTCAGTTTACAACAAAGTCGTACAAAGCGCCCCAACAAGCTACAATAACCGACTTAGTTTTTTATCTTTCATGTAGCGTTTTATCAACGGAAAACCTACCCGAATTCCCAATCCCGTAAATGCTGCGCTAGGTCCTGACCCAGCTAAGGAGAAGTCGAAAGTAGCCTAAAAACGATAGGCAAATACATGAATATGAATGTTGATAAGCATGTAAACATGCTACATTTATGTGTTACCGTAAATAAGTTAAAAGGTGATGACGCTCATGTACAAGACGTGTGTGTGTGTGGCAAAACCCCCTTTTGCCTCCATCTGGATGATATTGCGGAGGAATTGCTCCAAAGGATGTCGCTGACACACATCTGTTTACTTCTTTCCATTGTGGCAATCTGCCACGCTGGTCAATGATTTGACCGCCTGTTTGTCGGTCTTAGCAACAGTAACTAAGGGGGGCGGAGCTCAGTGAAAGGCTAATCGTCAACGTCAAAATATGATTGTGTTACAGATGACTGTTTTAAGTGGCAAACTTCTGTATCACACATTTCCAACATTCTCCAATGACCCACCTCTCCAGGCTCCAGTTTACTGTGGGGTCATCCATTTTGTTCACCAGCACTATCAGGTGCTTCACACCGGCTGTTTTAGCCAGCATGGCATGCTCCCGTGTTTGTCCACCCTTTTCAAATCCAGTTTCAAATTCGCCTTTTCGAGCAGAAATCACCTGAAAACAAAACAAAACACATGGAACCTCTGATGAATGAGTGACACACTGAAGAGACACCTGGTGTGTGGCGATTTCTCCAACAGTTATAGAAATGTTATACATGTATATCAAATCAAATCAACTTTATTTATATAGCACTTTTCATACAAAAAAATGCAACTCAAAGTGCTTCACAGATTAAAATGGCCCCATAGATCCCATATTCCCATCCCAGCCCCCCTCCCCAAGTATAAAACAATTGACAATTAGGGTTCCTCTCCTTCACCCAACTTCCAAAGTGGACATACAATCACCCGCACACTCGTCCATGCACACACACACACGTGAACAACAGAGGAAACAATAGGCTGAGTTCAGATGGGTCAGGTAATGAACGACACATCATCAGCTGAGCCATCTGCCCTGACAGCAACAGATCCATGGCAGCAGCCAAGACACCGGCCCATGACGCCCAGTGGGGGAGGGCAGAAACCCCCCACCACTGCCCGGGCACTGCCCGAGGAGCGCCCCGGCCGCCGCCGCTGACCACCGGCCCCAACGCAGAGGGCTCCGCAGAGGAAACACTTGAGGATTAAAATATATAACTGTAAAATAACAAAAGCTAATATGGATAGAAAGTAACTGATAAAAAGTGATTATAAAGATAGTAAAAGAAAACATAATCATGTAAAAACACTAAGATGTAAATGAAATAATAAAATGATGTAAAAGAGATAAATATAAATAAACAAATATGACAGACGATAGAGTTAAACAGACTAGATAAATACTAATCAGTTAAAAGCTAAGCTAAAAAGGTGGGTCTTGAGCCTATTCTTAAAAGCCTGGACGTTCCCTTCGGCCCTGAGGTCCTCCGGCAGCCCGTTCCAAAGGCGGGGGCCGTAACACTTGAAAGACGCCTCGCCGTGGGTGTGAGTCTTAACTTTAGGGATAACTAGGAGACGGCTGCCAGAGGAGCTTAGAGACCGCGAGGGTTTATATAGTAAAAGCATTTCTGAAAGGTAAGAAGGCCCAAGACCATCAAGACACTTAAAAACCATTAAAAGAACCTTAAAATCGATTCTGAAACATACGGGGAGCCAGTGCAGTGATTTTAAAACCGGAGTGGTGTGCTCCCGCTTCCTGGTCTTCATCACGTGCTGCTGAGTTTTGTTAAAGTTGTAAACCTGAGATGCTCTTTTTGGGAAGACCAGAAAGCAGGGCATTGCAGTAATCAATTCTACTGGTGATAAAAGCATGCACTAGCGTCTCCGTATTGGCCCGAGAGAGAATGGGACGGACTCTGGTGATATTCTTAAGATGGTAAGAACCTATTTTTGTGATGTTTTTAATGTGGGGGATAAAAGTCAGCTCAGAGTCAAAAATAACACCCAGATTCTTCACTTGTAGTGATGGATAAAAAGACAGACTGTAATTTAGGTAAAAGTTTCTCTCTCTGGGCCTCAGGACCGATGACTAAAACTTCAGTTTTGCCTTGGTTGAGCTGGAGAAAGTTTTCAGTCATCCATGATTTAATATCTAAAATGCAATTAAAAAGTGTTTCCATTGGCTGTGCGTCATCAGGAGACATGAAGATGTACAACTGTGTATCGTCAGTTTAACTGTGGAAATTCACCCCATGTCTCCTGATAACGCTGCCCAGAGGGAGCGTATAGAGGTTAAAAAGCACTGGGCCTAGAATTGAACCCTGAGGCACAACGCATGTGATGCTGTGGACCCCAGAGGAACAGGTATCCAAACTCACCATAAAAGTCCTGTCTGTGAGGTAGGAAGTGAACCAACTAGGAACTATATACATACCGTAAATCCTCTAATACAGGCCGGTATTCAATTAAAGGCCGGGTCTCCAATTTTGGCCGGTGCCGGGAGTCAGCGGAGGTGAATAATGGCCGGTCTCTTATTGTGGCCGGGTGGAATGTGGTAACAAGCAAGTACGGGGGGGGGCGGTTGTGTCATCGTCTCACTTTTGATTTGCCAGTGATAGACCGCGAGGGTAACTTTAACCGTGCGGAGACGAAGAGGAGGCGAAAATTTGATATCAAGTTCAAAGAGAACGTGCCGATTATGCTGCAGAACACTCTGGGGAGCAATAGGGGTTGTATGAACTAGTCGACTTCACTATAGTGACTTTTTATGCCTGTCGTCGACTAGTCGCTGTCACGTGATAATGACCGGCAAGATGCAGCCCTCGGAAAAGACAGCAGCCTGCTGTCAGCAGGTGACAAGCTCCTGCGCTCGGGGGGGCAACGTGCTGTGCCAGTGCGTCGGTACTGACATGCGATCGTTCATGTCAGTTCATTTCCTTTAATGTTTTCTGTCTTTTATTTGCGCCTGATGTGTTTCGCTGCTGTGGAGCGAGGCGCATCACCTTGTCCTCCGACGCACTGATCACTGATGCGGCCGCCAAGCAGGGAGCGCTCCGCTGTTTATGCGGTCGGATCTGCCTCCTGAGCACGGCCACAGTAACAATCAGGTGTTGCCAAATTATTTAACACGCGATCATTCATGTCGGTTAATTTCCTTTGATGTTTTCTGTCTTTTATTTGCGCCTGATGCGTTTGGCTGTGGAGCGGGGCGCATCAACTTGTCATCCAGTGATGCACCAATCACTGATGCGGCTGGCAAGCAGCAGCACTCCGCTGTTTTTGCGGTCGGTAGATCTTTTAGAACTGCAGTTCAAAGGTAACTCATAAGGTGAATATATATGAACCCAGGTAGCAGTTTTTCTTTAGGATTGAGAGGAGATGCAGGAAGATAATAAACAGACAGGACAGAAAAATAGTCAAACAAAAACAAGTTAGTTTTTGTACCTGCTGGTTGCAACAAACAGACACCATTGAAGGTAATCAGAAGTGAGGAACAGAAAATGAAATAATTATTTTAATGTTTAGAGCAGCAGGAACTCTGGGAGGCTGCAGGCGCATCAGTGAGTTGCGGCCGCTGCGCAGGGGGAGGGGGAAATGGCTGAAGCAGAAACTACCGTTGTTAAAAGAAATGTGTTTAACTTTGAAAATGTGGGCGCAATTTTAATTGTCAAAAACTCCAGCAAACCAAATAGAAATAGAGGCCTCTAATACTGGCCCTCCTTCCAATAAAGGCCTGGAGCTTGATGAGCTTGAGTCAAATACAGGCCCGGGCCTGTATTAGAGGATTTACGGCAAACTCTTCTTTCACCCACCCGGTCCCCCTTCCCTCCCCTGGATGGCTGAGTGGCACCTCACAGGAAGCTTGCTCACTCAGTGCAGTTACATGAACATGTGATTGGAGCTATGGGAATAACCGAGCTAATCCCTTAAAGAGCAAATAGCCGGGTGGAGACTCCCATGAACCAATGTTTAGAGAAACAATAGAAACTCATTAAAAAAAATTTTTTTTACACAAACATAAATTATTTAGGCTTTTAAGAGACAATTTTGTGAGAAATGTTTTTTTTTTTGCCAAATCAAGTCAGCTGAGGGAGTCCATCCATTTTCATCCGCTTATCCAAAGTCGGGTCACGGGGGCAGTAGCCCACGTCGAGAGGCCCAGACTTCCCTCTCCCCAGCCACTTGGGCCAGCTCCTCCGGGGAACCCCATGGCGTTCCCTGGCCAGGTGAGAGCCATAGTCCCTCCAACATGTCCTGGGTCTACCTTTAGGCCTCCTCCTGGTTGGACGTGCCCAGAAAACCTCACCAGGGAAGCGTCCAGGAGGCATCCTGACAGATGCCTGAGCCACCTCAACTGGCTCCTCTCCATGTGGAGGAGCAGCGGGTCTACTCCGAGCCCCTCCCGGATGACCGAGCTTCTCACCCTATCTCTAAGGGAGAGCCCAGCCACTCTTCGGAGAAAACTCATTTCGGCCGCTTGTATCCATGATCTCGTCAGTCACTACTCAAAGCTCATGACCATAGGTGAGGGTAGGAACGTAGATCGACCGGTAAATCGAGAGCTTCGCCTTCTGGCTCAGCTCTCTCTTCACCACGACAGACCAGTACAACGCCCGCATCACTGCAGACACAGCACCAATTCGCCTATCGATCTCTGAGGACTGAGGGAGTCCTGTTAGCTTAATCCAGAGAAAAATCTGGACTCTAATGCAGCTCTGACACAGAGGGAACTTTAAATGTTCATAATTCTACTTCTGATGGACCAAAACCATAAAGCTATGAGTTTGCTGCATGTCCCAGAGAGCAGAGACAAACCAGAGGGAGAAACCATCGGCCAAAGCAGAGATTAAGGAGCACCAGCAGGTGAGTTAACAATGCTAGCTTAAACTCGTGTGCTAGCATCACAAAATTGTACAGATTACAATTGTGTACCAGACAATTAAAATGGTATTGCTCAGTTAATATAACAATAATAATAAGCGTCTGTCAGCGGTCTCATACTCGTTTATGTCCGTTCACCTAACCTAGTTTAGAGCTTAGAGAAAGAGAGAGAGACGCCGCTTGTCAGCCCGGTTCTTGAGCTCATGAGAGCTGGATCCGACCCAGACACCAGAGCAAGTCGAGTTGGTATTTTTAAAAGCTGCGCATCTTCTCCGGGTGGTCCAGGCGGCAGTTCTCATCCGGTTCCGACCCGGGCAGCCAGCTGGCCCGCTGAGCCGCGCGTCTCTACTGGTGGTCGGTTTTGACAATGATCTGAGCTCCAGAAATTCGCATTTAAATTTTAAACCCCGCCACGGGTCTCTGGAGCCCAGCGCGGACCTCCCTGACCCGGTACCGACCGATGCGGGCTACAGAAGTCAGTCTTTTCAGCTGCAGAAACACCCTCAGGCACGGAGATAGAGGCGTTGTTTCTCTTATCTGGAAACCCGTGGACTCGAGTTGGTACAGCCTTCACACACACTAGTTTATCAACATGAACACAACCCAACACTAGTAAACACACACTGACTGGATCACATGACCTCTACCCTAAAGCTATCCACTCTCTACACTGAGCTGAGGGAACCTAGCTTCTAACTCCCTTTGGTTACGTCAGAGGTTCACATTTAGAAACAAGAGAAAGGAAAACTCTGCTGTTGTGTGTTTTAAACCAAAATATCCACAATAAGCTTTTCAAATAGTATTTTTTGGACATAATTTTATATGAATTAGAAAATACAATTTACCTGCTATTTGCTCATTAACACGTTCGTTAGAAAACTGAATTACTGAAAAAGTGCATCCCTCTCCGCTGCAGTAGGAGCCCTTTTGTACTGGCATCTGTAGGGTTAGCCTATAGCAGTTTCTCATGAGTTATCCAGGGTTCCCCCAGAACATGAGTTAAGCCTGGCGGCTTCCGCCGTCGGGGGTGTGTGTGTGTGTGTGTGCACACATTCCACTGCTGTTTCTCACCAGTATCAGCTGATGGAGGGCTCTAGTTTTGTTGCGTCGTTCGTGCCAGCGAACACGGTAGGGTCGGGGAGGGGGGCGGGGCATGACGCTTACCCTGGCGGGCCACCAGGCTTATAAAGCGCTGGGGGAAACCCTGGTTATCTTACATCACTTGCCTCAGGATTTCTCAGCTTAAACATTATTTTGATGTAAACAGACAAACTGGATGCAATTTTCAGGAATTTTAAATGGATGAACATGGTCAAAATAATAGTTGACTTATTACTCACCAGAACTGCCAAGTCTGCTTGTGATGCACCACCGATCATGTTAGGAACAAAGCTTTTGTGGCCAGGAGCATCTAAGATAGTAAAGTGCTTTTTGTCCGTCTCAAAGTAAGCTCTGCCCACCTCCACCGTCTTGCCTTTGTCTCTTTCCTCTTGATTGGTGTCTAACGCCCAAGACAGATACCTACAGATGAGGGGAAATATGATCATAAAGCAGTTTGCAACTTATTGTCTACACAACATCTACACCAATATCTAACCAAACATCCAGCATTGACTGGATTATGTTAGTTTATGAAGGTAGTTGGACGAGCAGTGCTCCGTGTTCTCACAACTATGTAAATAGTAACAAAGAGTGCGTCTTACAGTAACGCTCCTAAAATTTTGATTTTCTAAACACTTCTGTTAGTTTACTGTATATTTTTTCTGGGACGAGTAAACCTAGCATTGTGTGTGTTACTATAATGCAGCAGCGAGGTGTGTTGCAGCAGTCATCAGCTGTTTGGGAGCTAAAGAGGCGAATGTTTACATTCAGGGCCAGTAAGGAACAAGGAGGATGTGATCAGGCTGAAGACCTGGAGACCCGCAGCTTCACACCGCGGGTTTGCAGCCCCACCCTTCTGGATGTGCGAGCAGGACTTCCCATCTAAGAGAGGTCTGCTCGCCTGTTCACCGCTCAGACGTTAGATTATTAATTCGATCAAAAATTGCTAACTGTGTCTTTACCCAGCTTCAGCAGTTCCTTGTCTGGGTCTGACCCAAGTTAATAAATGCAAGTCCTCCATCAGAGTTGTGCCTGTTCATTTATAAGGACTTTTATAGGCTTTTACTAGATTATGAGAAAGAGAAATACTAATAAAAAAAACATTTATACAAAAAAGTCAAACTAAATATTAGAATATGGTGCGAGAGTCCATTTATTTCAGTAATTTAAATAGACTGAGAGACCATTTAAAGGATCAGGAACCCTTTGCAGGTGTTTTCTATTATACATTTTAGTTGATAGGGGACTTGCTTCATATGATGCAGTTGAATTTGAATAATTAAAAAGCATTTCTTTAAGAAATTAGGAGCTTGAGTTTACAACAATAATATCCATGTCTAGTGTTTGATTCTCTGCCTCATTATTAAAAAAATATAAAAATAAAAACTGTTTGGGGCAAATATTCTTTAACAATTAAAATGTGATTAATTACAAAGCCTCTAATTAGATCATTTGTTTTATCAAGTCCCACCCCTGACACACACACACACACACACACACACACACACACACACACACACACACACACACACACACACACACACACACACAGGGTCGACCGATTAATCGTGCCGATATTTAGCATTTTTTCATCATCGGCCGATAGTAGAGCCGATTAATGGGCTCGACACACGGGAGGCGACATCGCCTCTCCTCCATTCATTTTCAATGAGACATGCGCGACAAAGCGATAATCGCGGGTCTCCCTCCTACCAAGCGAAACGCGAAAAACATGCGTGTGAAATTTTGCGCTCGTGCACGTGTCGTGAACAGGCGACCCAGCGACGCGATCCCAGAAAGTTGAAACATTATCAACTTTTCATCGCTGTCGCTCGGACGAGGACCAATCAACGGAGGTTTCATTCACTGACCAATGAGCGGACATTATGCTCCGTACACCTCCGAGCAAACATGGAGGAGAAGTTTATTATTATTATGTTTTATAGTAAAATCAGAAGTAAGATTTCACATAACTCTAGCAACACCTTGTGAAACATCATATCTACCACTTTATTAACTCTGAACCGCTTAAATAACCTTAATTCCCTCCAACCTGACACAGCCAAACAAAACAACGGAAGTTTCCATTTCGCCATGGAACAAAACGCGTAGACGGCTTTGCCGCTGGCGCGGATCACCTCCCGTGTGTCAGGTAATAAAAGCGACGGCGACAAATTTTGCTGATCGCGGTCGTTTGTCGCCTCCCGTGTGTCGAGCCCATTAGTCAGGCACCTCCGCGGGCAGCCCACTGCTGCTGGAAGCCGGTGAAGGATCCCAATCCAAAACACTGGGAGTCTCTGAGTAAAAGGAGAGGCTTCTCTTTAACGTTTCAAACCCATACAGCTGTGTATTCAGTGTGAATTAAAAGTAAAACATGAAATGAAACTTAGGTGAGTGAAAGAAAAAACGAGCCGTAAGAAACGCCGGTAACCGGCAGCACGCTGCTAATGCTACGCTAGCTGGTTGTCACCTTTAGTGACCTTCTTAAACTCTCAGCTGCTTTTTTGCTGAACACGTTAGCTCCAGCTTTATACATTTAATTATTTTCCTGTGTGGGAGTCGGAGGGTTTGAGTCTGTTCGTTAGAGAGGAGAGGAGAGTCCTGCAGCAGCAGCGTCTGTTTAGCGTGTAATCTGTGATCAGAAACAAGAGACGTGTTGGGCTCTGACTAAAGACCAGTTTTAATTTGTACGTAAAATCTAACATCAGCAGTCAGTAACACTAGTGAATAGTTAGGGTTATTAATAGATCAGTGTGTCTCTAATATTTCTCATATAGACTGTAATGCGCTGAGTTCTCCTCTGCTCTTTCTGCTAGACTCAACTGAAGACGGATGCTCTACACAAACACTAACAGCTGTTTCTATGTTTTTACGTTCTGTATTTTCCAGACTATAAATCGCACTTTTTTTCATAGTCTGGCTGGTCCTACGACTTGTATACCAAAGTGACTTATATACCAAATTATGTATGCCGCGCTGCTGCGGTCCGGCTCCGGTCCAGGTTTTAGCTCCTCTGCCCCGCTGGTAGGGTTTGAAACATCGCCATCCTCTGCTGGAGACCGTGGTGCGCTGCTGCGCCCTGGTTGATTATTCTGTAATTGTTACCGGTACTTGTCTTGCAATGTGAAACGCTTGGTCTCAGATTTTGTAAGAAAAATAATTAAATTTCCCCCCAAAATGCGACTTATATATGTTTTTTTCTTCTTCATTATACATTTTATGGCTGGTGCGACTCATACTCCGGAAAATACGGTACATGTAAATGCTTAATAACATTATCTGAAACATCAACTGATATTTCTTCATTTGCCCGTTTTGTATATTTAATACTTGGTCAGTTTACTGGTATGTTTTATTAATCTTGTTATGTTTGATTTTACCACTGAGCGGTGTAACGTAGCGGTTATCTAATCCCTGCATTAAAAAGATCCAATCTTCTGGTTTAAATAACCCACCAATCCGTAAGGTGGATTCCATATCTCCTATGGAATCCCACACCTTATGGCTCATTAAATAACTAATCTATTTCATTACAGCGGTGCGCAATATTAAGATGCAACAGCTGGTGAAATTCAGTGTTAAACACAGATTAGGTTCAGAAGTCTGATAAGGTGCCAAACATCGAGATATCAGCCCAAAAATCAGCAGCATGCATCGGCCATTGGCTGACCTTGACCACCTCATATCGGTATCGGCAATAGAAGAAGCAACACCGGTCGACCTGTAATACACACACTCACCAGGTTTCTCTGTTCTTTTCTTTTGCTTCTTTCTCATACTTCTCTAATGTCCTTTTGTCCACCATACCTGTTAGATACCTGTAGGAGGAGGAGGCAATGCGTCAGCCTTGTGATTTCTGTGGTGTGGAAAATGCAGATGAAACAGTGGAACTGGACATAAAACTATTTTACTGTAAAACACAGAACTCGTTCTTATATGGATGCGGTTAGGAACATCTGGGGTTTTCTAGACAGAGGGCTCACCGTAGAGCAGAACAGGAAGTCTTCACGTGAAGGTTACGTATTCAACTCTAAAGGTGAGTTTTATCCCAACAATGTTACCTTCGTTTTGTCAAAGTATGAAAAACTGGAACCCAGAGGTGGGTGATTTAGTCCAAACACGAGATGATATTTCAGAATACTCTGACAACAATGATAAAAATGATAACACAATGCCGTACAAAAAACATTTTGCAGTAATTATTCAGCAGAAATAGCAGGACCCTATGAAATCCATTCTTTTTCTCAAATGTAACATTTGCTTTTATTTGATTTTGTTTATTCAGCATTTTTGTTCCAACCATATTCTTAACATCTAGTTTGCAATGCTTTACCACAAATGGACAACGCTTTCAGAACTACTTACATAATTTGGCCTCCAATGGTGGACTTTCCAGCATCTGGGAAAAGGTAAACTTGGTGAGTTTTCATTCAAACCATCACATTAGACCCTTCAGTTTGGAGTTCAACGTTGTGGTAAGAACAGTGATATGTTGTTGTCTTCCTCGGGTAAGCGTGGTGGATGAGAATATGAAATGTGCTTGTTGGCAGCATAACATAAAGAACGCGTTTAATCATTAGAACATGTCATGACATTTTCACCGTATATCAACTATAAATACTAGTTTTTAGCAGATTCACCTAGAAGACCTAATAATTATGTTAAAGGTGAGTTTGAAGTCATTTGTGACTGAAAACTTGGACCTTAATAGGCAACAGGTGAACAGAAAAAACACCCAGATCCCAAAAAGCACAATTCCCTCAGTCCCAGAACAGCGTGGCCAAAGTTACAACTGACCTACATGTCCGATGAACACAACATTGATGTGTTCCTTCCTAGGGGCATCGGGTTGTACAGGTGGGACTTTTGGCACTAGTATTTCTTCCTCCTCCTCCATCATCTCTGGAGCCATCTCCTCCGTTGATGAAGACTCTCCCGGTCCTCGGTCCCCGCCTCCGGGTTCCTCCTCACTCTCCTCATCCTCCTTTTGGTCCCATGGTTCCTCAGTTGTCATCTCTGCGTCTCCATTCTCCACAGGAACTTCACAATCACAAGACATTTTAACTTTTATTAGAGTGTTCAGTGTTCATGGGTGGTGAGTGTTTCTGTCTTTCAGTCAACAGGCAAATAAAACATTTTAATACTTAGTTTTCATGAACATGTTTCACCCCTGTACATCCTCAAGTTCTACGGAAGCCTGTTAAACCATAATCCTATCAAAACCTACTGAGCATCAAGCTGATTCGCTGAAACGCCTCTAGTGGGTTTGGTTGTCATACCAAGTGTGTGTCCAAGGTGTGATCTGTACCCAACAGTATGAGGTGATCTGTATGTGAAACAAAAACAACAATGGCAGACGTGGTGGTGATGCTGAACATTCTGCTCGGTTGTTGGTATTTTGCCAGACTGAACCTAGAAATGGCTGCAGGCAGAAAACTCTGGAGTCAGTGTCTGACAGTCTCTGACAGAGTTTTTGGCCGGGCTCTGTTCGTTTGCAGCCAGATGGTAATAAGGTAGGGGTGGCAACCTGGTCCCTGTTACTAATGGAAATGCCCCCCAACTGGACTTAATTGGAGTTGCGTCAAGCAGGTATAAATGCATTTGCAGCTTTGTTCACTCATTAACTCAATGACTGTTTCCTGATCAGTAATGCCTTTCACTGCCAGCGTTTTTACAGTTTTTCAAGAGTCACAGAAGGTTGCGCACTAGGATGATGTCGACGCCAAAACTACCAAAACAAAGAGGAGACTGGCCTCTTACATTGGAAAGAATCCGTACGTTTTGAGCGTTATTCGTTCTTTCATGACCCGTTGTCGAATTGTTATCGGCAGAAACTTTTCTGGTTCACGCCTCACTTTTTTTTTACAGCAGCGGCCCAAAACGTCAAAAGTCGTTTGAATGAGTTAACTTTTATCAATTCAATTCAAGTTTAATTGAATCGTGGGAACTTCAAAATGCACACAGACTTGAAAACGCCAACTGGTAAGAGCATTTTTTATTTAAATATATTTCAACAGAAACTTGTTCACTGATATATTACATTAAATATGTTTCCATAAAAATAATATTTATTCTCTAATTTACGAGTTTCTATGGTAATTAAATCATAATCGCTATTTTCCGACTCCGAGTACACCACTGTGTTGGCTTCCTGTTTACTAAACGTGAGCATTGGTCTAAATACGATCACGTGAGAGCCGCTTTACTACTTACGCTCAAAATAAAGTAGTCCCACATTCAAACAGCAACAAGAATAAAAAACAGGTCTACTTTAGAAGAAAAAAGTTTACTTTGAAATCAGTATGAATGTACTATGTTCATGAAACAGCTAGTTGCCACAAGAGATGGGAACAAGATGAAACAAACACCAAATACCTAGAGGCTCAGGCGACATTGAACCCTGGAGTGTAACCACTTCACCGCCATATTGGATGGGTCCCTCACTCCCCAAAAACCTTAAGAGTCAACGCTGAGTGAGCAGCTATGCCTGTTTTTGTGCGATCTACGGTTCAAACAACCGACGTGCTATCGAAAACAGGTTATGTGGGATTACTCTTGACTTTTCTAGTCCAATGAACGCACTGGAGGCAACTGGTGACCCATCCAACATAGCGGCCTGCAGTTACAGCAGTGCCGATAGAAAACCCCAGCCCATGTCGCCTCTACGTTTATGTGGTCTGATCTCTACGATTCTCACGCTCATTTTCTGTTGTGGAAATCGACGAACACGATGTCCGGACAAACGGGAGTTGGTACAAGCCCAACATACACAAACATTAACCATCGTTAAACTAGTCGAATCGGTGTTACCTCAGCAACTAAAATAACTGGAGTCGAGCCCGTCTTCCTCTAAGGTTTCCCTGAGGTACTTAATGAGTCACGTGACTCCGAAACCGCTAGTTTCTTAGGGAAGCCTGCCCACTTCCCTTGACTGAGTATTTTTAAACACCTGCTAGTTATCTGGAGACCAGGAAGGGTAACCAAAATAACTTCTTGACCTTAGATGATGCTTTTCTATCATTTAAAGGAACTTTAAAGATGCACTTTAAGATTTTTCTTTTTCCGATAGGAGCTACTTAAATAAAGTTTACTTACCTGCTTACTTACTGATGCTCATTAAAACAGTAAGTTATCCATATAACTGCTGGTCTCTGCTGTAGAGGTACCATACCTTAAGCTGGCTTTCCAAGGGCACTACTCAAGAGTAACTTTGACTAGTGCAGCTCACGCCGACCACATTTCCCAAGAGCACGGTTCGATATTTCCCCTCAACTTTTCCCCAATTTTTAGTCCCTGCTTTGATGAGGTTCCTGGCAAGGCTGAGTCGGGCCAGCATCGCAACTGCGGCTGCTGATTGGCTAGGGGACGGAGTCACTGGTTGCTCTGGAGTTTTCGGATTGCTGCTTCACTGCCTGCAGCCATTTCTTCTGAGTTTGATAATAAGCCATGAAACTGAGCAGAATGTTCAAGAACACCATTTTCTGCTGAGCTGTGTTTCTGTGGAACATACAGGTTACCTTACACTCGCTCATCACCATCACTAATTTTTGTGTGGAGTAAAGATAAACATGATTGTGGAGATTGATCCAGCATCTCCCATCCAGCACCTCCTGCAAGAATGTTAACACGTCCACAATGGGACACTGGAATGGAGCAATGTTACGTGAGACACCACTGCTCTAAAGGTCACCATTTGTAGCCACTAGAAGGTGTTCTCGGTTGGGGTTAGCCCCTGGCTAACGGGCTGGACCTCTCAGCTAGTAGGCATGATGGGCGTGGATGAAGTATTTCTCCCTCTGCCTGGAGAGGAGACCCAGATGAAGGAGAAGACTCTGGGGCTCCCTCACCATTAAGCCAACTACTTCGGGCCAACAAGGGGCCACCAGAATAAAGGACAGGCCCCACTCGTGCACCCGCTCCAGCACTGGTGAATCATCTCCACCAGAGCGAATGCACACAGAAGTACATCGCAGCAGGACTTGCAATGTGACTATCCCGCACATGAACATAGCCATCAGAATGCTCAAACCATAGAAAGTGGAGCTGTAGCTCTTTCCCCTTTCGAGCTGTTTAAACTGAACGTGCAGTTGTATGGTTAAGTGAGAAAATGATTAAATCTGCTGTCACACAGGACTGCTTAGGCCACACCGAGAACTCTGGAGAGGTGGCACACTGTACAGCACAAGATCTCAGTGAGCCAGACTGCACAAAGTCTCGCGCCATGAGCGCACCCCCGAAAAGCATACATCACTGATAGCCAAAGGCTAACCAAAACAATGCTGAAAAGAGAAAAAAGTTCCACCATTAACACTTCTCTAATTAAGCCTCCAAAAAGGAGTGGTCCGCATTTTCCTGTGTGTAGCTCGTGCTGCACTCCCATCACTCTGAGGGTGTTTTCATTGGTTGAGCGCAGACGGGCGTCGTAGGTTTTTAAGCAGTGCTTGAAAACTGTTGGAGGCTAAATCTGGTCTTGATGGTGCGCATTAAGCTGTCACAAAGCCGGTTACACTGGACAGATTGACTTGCAAATTACCCTCATGTTCACTGTTTGACACAATCTTGTTTAAGATGAGAGTGGTTTGTCTAGGACGGCCAAAAAATGCACAGTGTGGTCCAAGCTTAAGACGCCTATCCCTCCTTACCTGCTGGCAGTAGTTGGAGGGACTGTTGCCCTGCGTTCGGCATCCTCACTTCTGCCCGAGTGTCCCAGAGCAGCTGTGGCTACGATGTAGCTCATCGCCACCAGGGTGTGAATGACTGCAGTGTAATGTGCTCTGGAGTCCTCTGACTTAGAAAGATGATTAATGATAAATGAACCGCACTTGTATAGCGCCTCTCAGAGTAAGGACTCCAAAGCGCTTTACACTACAGTGCATCATTCATCCATTCACAAACTGGTGGGGATGAGCTACGATGTAGCCACAACTGCCCTGGGGCGCACTGACGGAGGCGAGGCTGCCGAGCACAGGCGCCACCAGTCCCTCCGACCACCACCAGCAGGCAAGGTGGGTTAAGTGTCTTGCCCAAGGACACAACAGCAGAATTCTCTGTCCGGAGCCGGGATTGAACCGGCAACCTTCCAATTACTGGACAACCCGCTCAACCCGTTGAGCTACTGCTGCCCCTAAAAGATGGCCCCAGAAAGATGCCATACAAGTACAGCTCCTTTGTCAATGATCAAACTGATGCTACAATAAAAATGATTTTCTTGACCAAGTGCCGATTCTGCACCATCTAAAAAAACTAAACAGGATTAAGATCTTGAGCCTGTCGTTTCTGCAAGGCTGTTGTGTAAACAGTAATGAATGTCCTAAAATATGACAAACCCCCATCCTGAATGCTATGTGATGTTACTGACCTTCCTTTCTGGGTTTTGCTAATCCTGTGGAGTTTACGAGTCTGTCCGTCAACAATGAGGAACCCAGTAACAATTAACACAAAACACAGTATAAAAGAACACAGGCCTGGCACAAACGTCATACATACCAGAGCTTTCCAATACCTCCATGGTGGATATTTTTTCATCAGCAACTGGACAAAAACACACAAGTTGATGTTTAGGAGAAGTTCTGAGTGGTTAACTTGCTCTCAATCCACCCAGCGAAAAAGAAAGAGCAACATGTTGAGTAAAAGCAGCTTCGTTTCTGTCGGCCAACTGAAGTTCAGCGCCAACAACAAATGCGTCCATTAAAAACGACTTTTGTTTTCAGTCCAGATCTGAATCATACAAGCAACACCTCAGACGAGTGATGCGTCACAAAATCCACGTCACACTAGCAGAACGACTTTCAGCAATTAGTAGTAAAGCGCGTAGAAAAGCAGTTATGGAGTGGATTCGTGTCATTAGCTCTGCCCTGTGTGGCCTTCAGACTCAATAATTACGGGGTTTACACTTAACGAACGCACTCAGACCACGCCGGCTAGCCAGAACATGCTAGTCACTTGCCGCTAGTTAGTTGAAACAAGCAAATGATTAGCGACTTGGTTGAAACATAACAATGGTAAACAAGGCACAGAAGTAACAGTTTTCACAGCACCGAGAGGGCCAGGGACATTAACAGTAACCGCTGTCCTAAAAGCAGAGCCAGTAGCTAATACTGTCGGTATCCGACAGTCGCGTGTCTGTACAGTAAGCTAACGATGGCTAGCACTAGCTTGCTGGCTAAATTATCCTTCAACGTGACTCTGGACTCACCAGCAGAAGAAATATGTTCAGAGATGGCCTTCATGGCAAAAGTTGGAACAAACTCAGCTGCGTTTACATTGGGCACAAACGGCTTAGCGTTTACGTTTAGGTTTTTAAATGCGGAATCAAGTTGTCCGTCGACAGTGGCCTCCACATCGTCTTCTTCCCAAGAATCAGGGGCAGTGTCTCTCGGCTCCATCGTGGCTCTTGGATTTTTTACAGAATCTACGCAGTTCTTGGTCACTGTCACCGTCCACCCTAAACCTGATTTCAAGGTCGCCTAAATAAAAACTTCTTGCTTTGATGTGTGTGATGTTTTATTTCCACTTCCGATGAAATACGACAGCCGGTTTCTTTTGGTCCGGACACCAGGGAAGATAAGATATTCGACTCAGCACTCCCAGGGACCGTCCGCGTGAGCGAACGCATACGTTCATGCTACGTACGATTCGCATTGAATGCTGGGATTAGTAGTTTTATCTGCATCCAGAATGCACTGCACAGAAAAGCCGTAGACGATTAAAAAAAACTACATACCCCAAAGACTCCGCAGTGAGTTCACTTTTCTGACTTTTTATTGGGCACCACAGATTCGTTACAAACTGTCACTCACGTTGTGTGCATTAAATGCGAACTAATCATCTATAATTGTTTGCTATTTTCATTTAAATATCTTAATTCAATTTTATACATAGATATATAAACTTTTGGTATTCTGAGGAGAAATGCAGGCAGTTTTAGCCTGACCAGCCTGCTTCCTTATGGGAAGCTATCTGTGTAGAATAAACAGAGGAGTCTGGTAGGCCAGGCTAAGGCAGCATCGCTGATCTGGAACAGAGCCTTTCTCTATATATTGATCAGTACATGTTTTATGATTTAAAAGTTCATCTACCATCCATTTTCATCTGTTTATCTGGGGTTGGGTCGTAAGGGCAGTAGTCTAAGCAAGGAGACCCAGACTTTCCTCTCCCCAGCCAGCTCTTCCCGGGAAATCCCAAGGCGTTCCCCGGTCAGCCAATAAACATAGTCCTTCCAGCATGTCCTGGGTCTCTTTTTGGGTTTCCTACCAATTGAACATGCCGGAAGACTTCACCAGGGAGGGCTCCAAGAGGCATCCTAATCAGATGCCTGAGCCACCTTAGCTGGCTCCTCTTGATGTGGAGGAGCAGTGGATCTACTCCAAGCCCCTCCCGGAAAACTGAGCTTCTTTTCTGAGACGTGATGTTGCACTCCCCGTGTAGCCACTCAGCACATCTGTCTTCTGTGTGCCCCAGGCTTAAGGGAGAGCCCAGACAACCTTCTTGCCTGCTTGTATTTCCAATCTCATTCTTTCGGTCACTATCCAAAGCTCATGACCATAGGTGAGGGTAGAAACATAGATCGACAGGTGAACTGAGAGCGTCACACTCCAACTCAGCTCTCTCTTCACCACAACAGAGCCGTACAACGCCCGCATCACTGCAGAAGCAGCACCAATCTTCCCCTCACTCATGAACCCCAAGATACCTAAACTCCTCCACTCGAGGCAGGACGTCGTTCCTGACCTGGAGAATCAAGGACGTAGGTTTGACTTTAGAAGTGGGGGTGACACTACCAGCACGAGGACTGGGAGGTTCTTTACAGTTTGTTCTAATGGGAAACAGGCTTCAACACAAACTGTTGTTTTCCGCTTGGTCCTAGTGCTCAACCAGTGTCTATTTAACAGAGCGTAAGGTTGTTCTGGGACGGTAAAAAGTGCAGGGCTCAAAATTTGACTTCCCGGAGGACCCCCCACCAATCAGAAGCCAGGTGTGTGCATATCATTAATAATAATGAGTAATCCTGCTGTTTCCAGCTCACCTCGCACCAGCAAACTTCTGCATCTCAGAAGAGGCCCATCATAGCTTTTTAATTTTTTTAAATGACACATAAGGTATTGATTTACACTAGAGAACGCTGCAAATGTATTGAATAAACGAGTAAACCACACCCTTAACAATAACTGGATCATAATGGGGTGACGGTGGCACAGGAGTTAAATGCTCATCCCGTAATCAGAAGGTTGCAGGTTTGAGCCCCGCTCAGTCTGTCGCTGTCGTTGTGTCCTTGGGCAAGACACTTAACCCCCCTTGCCTGCTGGTGGTGGTCGGAGGGACCGGTGGCGCCTGTGTATGGCAGCCTCACCTCTGTCAACGCGCCCAAGGGTAGCTGTGGCTACATCGTAGCTCATCCCCACCAGTGTGTGAATGACTGGTTGTGTTGTAAAGCGCCTTGGGGGGTGGGGGGCTGTTAAAGGACTCTAGAAGGCGCTATATCAAATACAGGTCATTTACCATAATGACAGCAGATAACCACACTTATTTATATGTTGTTGAAATGCACTGGACACAGATTAATACAATTCAAGGTCATTCATTGGATGAATTTGTGAAACAGCAAACTTAAAACGTTTTTCCTGGGTCAGATGTGACTTGCTAAAGATGCAAGTGTGCAGTAGGCCCCCTTGGACATATGCTTTGGGGATGTTATAAGTTGCTGAACCTTTGGAGCACTGTTTTGATAAACTGTCTGATACATGGAATGTTGACTTTTCTCCCAATCCACTTACTACATTATTTTGAGTTCCTCCCCAGCACAGTTATATTCCCATCCAATGGGCTTTAGCGGTAGCCTGGCCTGCCAGACTCCTCCTCTATTTAATTCTGCACAGAGAAAGGGTCTGGGAACTCTCCTATTCAAATAACCCCACCCCCTGAGAATTAACACAGCCAATCAGCGCTGAGTAGCATACGTCACACACCACAACGCCGAGTTTGTCATAAACATGGCGACTGAAGCAGAGTTTGCTGCGATTCTTTCTTCTGTTCTAAATTACTTGAATGTCTTTAAAACTCAACAAGTAGAATCCCTAAAAGCCTTCTAAAAAAACCAGAAGATGTTTGCGCTGTCGCCAGGTGTCATTTTTTACTACAGCTAAAAAAACTACAGTGGTACAGTTGGCATTTCCGTCTTTTTTCTGATTGGTTATTTTTGAGCTGCCTAGTCCCGCCCCTCAAGTGCCTCTCTGCCTGTGAGTTACCCGACTCTCTCTGTGCAGAATTTGGATGAGTCTGGCAGGCCAGGCTACTTTAGCGGTGGCCTTCTCCACACTCATGGCCCGTCGGTGTAACTTTCTATCTTGAAAAGGACAACACCCCCTTCACATAAACGTTGAGTGGAAGACGTGCTCTCACATGTTGGGCTGAACCACAAACACATGTTAGGGCTCTGCATGTCCCACTTGCAAAATGTGCCAACCACTCCAATCACATCTAGAGTCGTCCCGTCAATACACGAAGGTTTTGGGAAATGTTTCTTTATTTTACGCCTTTTTTATTGTGATTTTGATGTAGATGTTTGGATTCAGGTCTGTTTACTTCTTGAACAGCTTCAAAGCTCAGTGGATGAGCAGCAGACCGCACATCCAGACGTGCTTCTGCTCATCAGCAGGGACTGCAATGAAGTGCCACACCAGAGACAATTGACCCTTTGCACGTGATGTCATGCTTCTCGTGGGTAAAACCCAGGTTAATCTGGCAAAAAAACACCCTCAGTCGCCACGTTTCCTCTCTGTTCAATACTCCCGTAATTCACTGTTGCCCCACTTTGGTGTGCCACATGTGGTCTTGAACTAGTTGAAGCCTGGCAAAATATTGCAAAAAACAACAAAAAAACAAACAAACAATCTAACACACACTTTTCCCCTTTGTTTAGTTTTTGTGTCACTCACTGTTTACACGCTTTTGCCCTCCAATGTGGTGGACCCACGTGATCGGGTGACGTAGGTGCCAAGGGACAATTGACCTGCTGTATGCTAATGTAACAAACTCAACCCCCTCCTGCCGGTCTGATCACAATCTCATACATCTGGTCCCCAAATACACACCCAGGGTGACTAGAAACCTCCACAGACGAAGGTCTGCAGCCTGATTTATACTTTTCTGTGCATCAGTGCGGAGACACGCAACAGCATTATGCGTCGGCGCAAGTGCTCTCCTACAGGCTAACAGAGGGTGATGGAGACATTCCCAAAATTTTACACAACCATAGAAAGTGACAGAGACTGCAGAACCGCTGCTCCTCCGGATCGAAAGGAGTCAGCTGAGGTGGTTTGGGCATGTGGTCAGGATGCCTCCTGGACGCCTCCCTGGGGAGGTGTTTCGGGCATGTCCTGCCGGCAGGAGGCCCCCGGGTCAACCCCGGACACGTTGGAGAGGTTACATCTCCAATCTGGTCCGGGAACACCTTGGGGTCCTGCCGGAGGAGCTGGTGGAGGTGGCCGGGGAGAGGACGGTCTGGAGCTCCCTAGTTGGGATGCTGCCCCCGCGACCCGGATAAGCGGAGGAAGACGACGACGATGACGACTGCAAGCTTGTGATTGGCCTGTCAATTCATCACCAGTACTGCAGTTTCCCTGTTAGAGTAAAAATACATTTAGCAGCAGACCCAGAACAGACTGAAGAATGCATCGCGGAAAAAGTCCAAAATATGACCGCTTATTCACCCGTGACTGAAGGAGTACAAAATACAGAGCAAACGTGGGTTTGGACGTGGCGCCCGCATGAAAAGGTGGAGGAGAATACACTATCGTGGACCGGATACATGAGTGTTATGGTGGCAGGATACCACAGGAAAGTTGCAATACTCCGCTGCCTGTGCAGAAGTTTGCATGTGAAAACCTTTCTGACACTATGTGTGCATCTGTCCATTGCAGATTTCACGGAGAAGTATAAATAAGGTTTGAGACACTAAAGATTGCTAAGAAGTTGTACAGCTGGTTTTCCTGGAAGAACTTAACATAAATCCATGTTGGTACACGGATGCATCGGCGCAGTGTCAGCAGAAAGGAGCTCAACCCAATCAGACCTCATCTATGAACCTAGTGGAGACCTGTTAATACTGCTTTGCCGAAACAATCTTCAGCCAGCCGTGCTTGAGGAAAAGTTCCAACTGTAGCAACTAATTTACTTACAGATGAAATTAGAAAAACTAGAATCTGGTGCAAAAGTTAATTTGTGTCAATAACCCGGGTGAAACTACTTTGTGTGGTGAGATGGTGTTTCATCCTCCCCACTCTGTGTACCAGGTGATGCACATTGAGCACCTGATCGAGGAGTGGAGCATATGGGATAAACGGAGGCAGATAGCTGGCTCTGTTTTTGTTCCTCTGCTCTGTTGGCTGCTTGTGTGGTGGTGATGCTTGGAGTGATGATCATCCAGGTTCCATTGTGCTGGGTTCACTGTCCGCAGTCAGGAGTACTGGTGCTGCACAGCTTCACCTGTTGGTCTGCTCCCCTCTGGCTGACTGAACTGAAAACCTCTGGTTAGGTGCCTGCTGTGTGTATGTGTGTCTGTGTGTGTTATTTATGAGAGATCAGCTGTTTTGTGTGCTTCTCTTAGGCATTTCAA